CAGCCGTGACTTTAAGGCACTTGATGAGATCAGTTCTGCCTCTGGGTCCTCATGAAGACGATAGATTGGAGCATTTCTAGGATCCTGTTCAATTCAGGGTCATTTTCCAGCTTTGCCTCTTGCCCTCAGTTGGCTGGGAAGGGCTGGCATGGTGCCACCCAGAACCTTAGACTACCTGGGGCTTTCCCTTTTCACAAGGGCCACACAGAGGCCCAGGGTTAGTGTAGGAGCATGGGACCCATCCTGAAGCCAGTCAGAATTCTGTGTTCTCTATGTGGTGGGAGTTACAGCAGCCAGACCCGTTAGAGTCCCCACTATCTTTAGAACACGTCTACTAGGACACTGTGGCAGCCAACAGAATAGATCCCTGATCGCATGAAGAATCCAGTCTGAATGGGGCAGACAATAAGTGCGTAGACAAACCCATCTGGATACAGGCATGCATGTCTCGGAGAGATACAGCCTGGGAAGTGCGCAAGAGCAGAGACTGAGTCTCAGCTGAATCTCAGGGGTGCCTGTGCACCCCGCAGCCACTCCCAGGCCTGGCTCAGAGTTGGCCCCGCTCAGCAAACTCTTGCTGGGTTGTGTGGCATGAGAGTTAGCACAGGAAGAGTGCCCCACCTTTCTCTTTCTGTCTGTGGTAGAAGACAGATGTATATGCACACATCTCATTTCAAGTAAACCTCCTCTACTGGGGGCCCATGAGGTAGCAGCAGGATCCCAAGCCTTGAGAATCCAGACCAGAGGAGAATCAGATCCCCGTCTCCCGGAGCGCAAAGGCCAGGCTGGAGGCAGGCACGTGGCCAGCCAGGACCAGGCGTGTGTAGGTTGGGGGGCTGTATGTACATCTGAGCTCCATACACAGGAAAGGATGAGAAAGGAGCTGCACATGTTTATTCAGATCCACACAGGTAAATAAACAGACACCCCCAGGACACTCAGTCACAGGTTCACAACTGTGTAACTGACTACATGGGCACGTATGGGCGTAAATACTGATCCTTATGGACTTGGACACCACACAGGCCCGTAAGCGTCCCCCCAAATTGGAAAGGTATAGGGTGAGATAATGGCTCGTGTGTTGGAGGACTGCTACCCAGTGGCCCCCTGGGAATCACACTTGGCGACGGGACACCCTGAGGTAGGCAAAACTGTCGGTCTGGACCTCAGAAGTTAGACTGATTACTGGCTCACGGTGGAGTCAGTGACCAGAGTTGGCCACTCACCTACAGGCAGGGCTGATCCTCAGGACAGAGACCGGAAGCCAAGGAATTTGATGAAAACTTTAACTGTTAGCACTTGTGTCTGTTGAAGAGTGTGAACCAGGTCAGGGTCAGGAGAAGTGGGGGGGAGCAGAGTGCTGTGAGTTAGCTGGGCCAGGCTTACCTTCCCTCGGGGCAGAACTGTGCCCTTACAACTGTCAGTGTCCCGATTTACTTTTTTGTGCTTAAGAGCTGTCAGCGTGTTGGGAGCACTCCTGGCACACGGTAGTCCCTCAGTGAGGGGTCATTCTACCCCCCAAGACCACGGCCTTTTCAGTTGTGAGGAGGGGAACCAGGAAGCCAGCCTGGAGGTGGTGACAGGAAGGAGAAACTGGTGAAAGCTGAGGTTGGGATTCTTGCCCTGTCTCCTTCGCAGGGCTCTTCATTTGTTCCTTCAATGAGAGGAGCCTTCCTCCAGAGCAGCCTTCTGCTGAAACCTTGGGGTTCTGTGTATTTTGTTTAATGAGATGTTATTTCTTGGTAGTAGTAATAGCTTTTCTGGAGCTTTATACCTGCCAGAATCTGTTCTACCAACTTCACATAAACAACTAACTTTATCCTCTAATGCTCTGATGGGGCATTTTATAGATGCAGGAACTGTCCCAAAGCAATTTGCTAATCTGTGCAAGGTAACACAGTGAGTATGTAGTGGAAGCAGGATGGCACCAGAAGCCACTGAATCTTGATCCTTGCAGCAGGGTGGGGTGGGGGTCTTCTCAAAGCCCCATCAGCAGAACTGTAGTAGGGCTCACAGGCCTACCGGAAGGACCTAGATTAAGGACACTTAGGAGGACACCAGGAGAATAACCCATCTCTCTTAAAGTAAATTCCTGCAGAGAAAATCATAAACTGCAAGCAATTTGCACCTGGGCCAAGGCCCTCAGAGCTTAAATATATTCTTCTGGTCTATTTATAGTCTCAGAGAAATTAGCACTTTCTGGGTAATGGGAGTGCTGACATATTCCAGCTGGTCAGGGCCTGCCAGGCACTGCTGGGGGAAAGTTTGGGAACCATGGAACCTTCTGGTACAGGACTCTGCATCCCCCATTCTCCTCCCCGGCCCAGCCTCCCCGGGGCACAGTTCTGCCCCGAGGGAAGGTAAGCCTGGCCCAGCTAACTCACAGCACTCTGCGGGCAGAACAGAGCGGTCGCCAAGGGGCTGCACTGGTGACCTCTGTGACCCACACGGGAGGTGAGGCAGCTGCCTGGCCCCTGAGAGCTGAGGTAAGCTCCCCTTCCTCAAGCCTTTCATTTTCCAAGAAAGACTCAAAGAGGGGCAGCAACGTATCCAGTGTCGCACAGCTGAGCTCTAGTCTTCACCACCCTGTGTCGCCATCCCCACCATAAACCCCGAGAAGCTGGCTGGAGATGCCCTCTCCAGCCATTAGGAAACTGGGGGCTTGGCATCCAGAGGGTGACATGCTGCAGCGGAGATAGCCCCCAAATGAGTGGGGAGAAGCCATGTGCTGGGGACTGGGGAAGAAACCCCAAACTCCCTCCCCTGGCATTCAGGCTCCCAGCTCCCTTGTCAAACTTCCCCCTCCCCCTCCCAAGACAAACCCTTCCTACAGCATAAGCCCTGGGATGCCGCTCTCTCATCCCTGGCACTCCTGACCACGCCTCTGCCCATCCGCTCTTCCCTAACTGAATGCCCTCAAGGGCAACTAGTGGAAGCAAAAGGACTGCAGAGCCCATTCTCTAGCCTCTGACATCCTGGGCCAGGCCCCGGCACAGCTGGAGACTTGCCCCTGCACTCCTTCCTGGAGCTGTGTGCCACCCGGCTCCCCTCAGGACCAGACCCTCCTGCCTTCTTCCTGCTGTGGGACATGCAGCGCCTCCCAGTAGAGTCCTTCTCCAGAAACTTCCCTCAGTCAAACAGTGTTAGTTGACCTGAACTTGGTTGATGTGCGGTTTGATGCAAACTTCCCTGAGCCAGTGGTGGTGGGGAATGAAGGTTCTAGAGCCCTTCCCAGCTCTAGCGCTTCCTGGTGGATCCAGTGAGGCTGTGGCAACTGGACCTCAGCTGACCTTCTTCCTCTGTCCAGTCCTGTTCCTCCCAAAAGCCCACCCACTGCCATCTCAGAGAATCGTTTCCAGGAGGCTGGGTTTTGACTCCTGATAACAGAGCTGCTAAGTGGCTGGCCTGCATCCACATAGGCAGCAACCATTTTAAGTTCGTGACTTGGGCCGGTACCTAATTTCTGTATACAACAGCTTGTTAAGTTGAAGGAACAATGCTGGGATAATAGCTCCTGTCTCTGGAGAATATGGTGAGGGTTCAATGAGATGATTAATGTGTGATGCTTGATACTGAGAAAGCACTCGACAACCGTTAACTATCGTGATTATTTGCATTTAACTCTCAGAGGTCTGGGTAATGAGGATAGTTCCGTGTCATGGGTCTGCTGGTGAGGATCTAGCAAAAATGGGGAGCAAAACATTAAAATCTGTGATCCAGTGACTTCATACCAAATAGGGGTGGTATTCTCTGGGGACTTTGCCCATCCTGGAGCTGTGCTGTGGAGGCCAAGGCCTCCCCCAACAGGCATGGGTCCCTGCATTGAAAACAAAGAAAGGGAGTCACAGGCTAAAGATGTCGTGACCTCTAGAAGCTTAGCTCAACCCCCACTTTATTATTTATTGGTTTATTTATGCACACAGGAGCTGGATTTCATAGGGTTGTACAGGCCAGAGTTATAGGGTGCATGTGTGTAACAGAATTCACAAGAGACAGAGTGAGGAGCAGAATAGGCAGATCGACAAAGTACACTGCTGAGGGGAGCAGCGGGAGGGTCAGGAGAGGTCTGCCGCACCATGTGGGTCACGACATCTTTAGCTTGTGACTCCCTTTCTCTCTTTGACAGCTGTAACAAATTATCACAAATCTGGTAGCTTGAAACAACACATATTATCTCATGGTGCTTTAGGTCATGTCTGGTATGGGGGTGAGAGGACCAACGTCAAGGTGTCTGCAGCCTGGGTCCTTTCTGGGGGGTATTGGCAAGAATCCTGCTTATTCAGGTTGTTGGCAGAATTCAGTACTTAGGGTATAGGACTGAGGTCCCCATTTTCTTGCTGACTATAAAATGAGGGGTTGAAGGCCCTCCCTGGCGGCGTAACAGGTTAAAATGTAGCACTAGGAAGCTATCCACAACCACTCCTGCATGAGTTCGATCCCTGGCCAGGGAGGTGACCCACATGGCGTGGCAGACCTCTCCTGACCCACCCGCTGCTCCCCTCAGCAGTGTGTTTCAGTCGGTCTTCCTGTTCTGCTCCCCACTCTGTCTCTTGTGAATTCTGTTACACACACACACCCTATAATCTGGCCTGTACAACCCTATGCAATTCAGCTCCTATATGCATAACTAAATCAATAAATAATAAAATGGGGGTCGAGCTAAGCTTCTAGAGGCCGCGACATCTTTAGCCTGCGACTCCCTTTCTCTGTTTCCAAAGTCAATACAGGCCAGTGGAGGGCACTCACAAGTCCTGATCAACCCTCTTGGTCATTCTGCATTTAAGGACTCATGTAATGAGACAGGCCCCCCTGAATCATCCAAGCTACCTCCCCATCTCAAGGTCCTTAGTCACACTGGCCAAATCCTTTCTGCCATGTGTGGTTGTACAGTCACAGATTCCAGGGATTTGAACCTGGGCACCTTGTGAATCAAGGGACATCACTGCCTACCAGTAACCAGCGTGGGGCACACAGGATCCAAAGTTTACCTCCTTTTCCAGGGAGAGGTCTGCGCAGCTCCTTGTGCCACAGGCACCTACGGCCCCAACTGCTCGTCCGTCTGCAGCTGCAACAACGGTGGCACCTGCTCCCCAGTGGACGGCTCCTGCACCTGCAAGGAAGGTAACGTGCTGCCCTCATCCACCCCGCTGCCCCCACATGTGCACAGGGAGAGGTGTCAGCTGAGGGGTTGGGGCTGCTCCTGGCCCACCCACCCACAGGCAGGGTCAGGGAGCCATGATGCTGGGTTCTAGTCCCAGAAGCCAGAAACCCAGGCCCGGGACTTCAACAGCAGGAGGTGACACAGGGAACTAGCGACAGTGGCTTTAGAACAGCTGAAGGGACCTACAAGGGCAGGAGACACCTGGAGATGAGGAACCATAGCAGGCCTGGGAGAAGCTGCTACGCTCAGAGGGGGCAAGGGCCAGGAGTTCTGGAGTTCTGGGGGCGAGGACACAGGTAAAGGGGGGACGCAGACAGGAGGGCAGATGTGGTGAGAGCCAGGGAGCCCGGACTGGCTCGTCCCTCTCCCGCCCGCCCGGCTGTGCGGATGCTGAGCAGGCCCTGCGGAACGTGAGTGATGCAGTGGTCTAGGGGTGCCTAGAGTTGGGGAGTGAGCCCCAGGTGCGACACGAGGCCCCTTCTGCCCACAGGGTGGCAGGGCCTCGATTGTACCCTGCCGTGTCCCAGCGGGACCTGGGGCCTGAACTGCAATGAGACTTGCGCCTGTGCCAACGGGGCGGCCTGCAGCCCTGCAGACGGCTCCTGTTCCTGCACCCCCGGCTGGCTGGGAGAGACCTGCGAGCTGCCCTGCCTGGTGAGTGCCCGGGTGGGCGCGGCAGGGCGGGCCTTGCCCTGTGGTCTTATCCACAGAGATGCACAGAGACGCTGGCGGTGGGACATTGAATTCCGTCTCAGCCCTTGTATTTGGGGCCTCGGCCCACTCATCTATTAAGTGGCAAATTCTTGGCAGAGGCTGCTTTGGCATCGCTTTCCCCTGGCTGCTCTAAGTAAACATTATTTGTTGGAGACTCTTTGTCCCCGATCACAGATTATTGGGGGGCAGAACAGGCAGGGTCTAGAAATGGGAACAGCGTCGGCGAGTGGAGATTCCTAGAAAAGGGGGGAAAAAGGGGAGCAGGCGTGAGGATGACATGGGAATGGGAGATAGGTGCAAGTCTTCCTGCTCTGCCTTCAGCAGAGGTTTATTTTATACATTTCAAGCAGGCAGAGGGATGACATTAGCATATGAAATGGGCTGAGATCACAGTTATTAACTGACTTTGGCACATCCTCCCGGTGGGCCCAGATGTGGCTTTCGAATCTTTCACAACACAGTTCCGGAGAACAGCCCCTCCGAATCCATCAGTGTTGCCATTCCTTGAGGAGTAATATCTATACTTCCTCTGGTTCCAGCAGTGTATACCTTTATGAGCAGGGTGATATAGGGTTAGAGCAAGCTCACCCAGGCCACTGACTCCTAGTCTGTGTCAGAAATAAGTGAAACCACCCGACAGAACTAGGTAGTTTGCCATGTCCCGCCTACGTTACCTTAAGCATGTGACTTCACCTCTCTAACCCTATTTCTCATCTTTCAACTGTGAGTATGTTGGCACCATGTCTTAGAGCCACTGGGAGCCTTCAGAGAAATGAGTTCTATCTGGCTCTTGATACCTAATGAGCACACAACAAATGCTGGCTGTCACCTTCTCCCCTAAAATCAAAGAATAAATCATAGCCATTCCTCTAGTAGAGTCAAAATGTTACAGTTTGCACAGTGCCTGTTTATTTACAGTTTTAGTTAATAATCATCAAAGAACTCTGGCCTCTGAGCTGGACCACTGGCCAGTGGGGCAGGACTGTCACCTCTGTCTTTCTAAGCCCCATACTTCTGTTAATGCAGCCAAATGATTACTTGGAGTGGCCTCATGGCCATGTTGATCCCATTACCAAAAATGTCCCCATTTGTCCCAGCCCCAGTCTCTGAATCCCTGTGAGGTAGTGATTCCGAGTTGTCATCAAAACCCAACAGCAATCTCTGAACCGCCGGGGATGGTGTCTGGGTCTGATCATCTCTCTCTCCACAGGATGGAACTTTCGGTCTGAACTGCAGCGAGCGCTGTGACTGCAACCACGCCGATGGCTGTGATCCCGTCACAGGCCACTGCTGCTGCCTGGCGGGCTGGACAGGTAACCCCCCTCAGCCTCCACCCCCCTGGTTCTGTGGAACTGCGCTCTGGGTATCCTCCCACTTCTCTCATCCTACTCCTCCGCCCTAAGTTCACTCCTTCCTTTTATATCTGGGCTTCGGTTCTGTATTCCGTTTCAACTCAAGTGAACAAGTATTTACTGAACAACTGTCATGTGGAGACTGTTTAAGGAATCAAGACACACCCACCTCCTCCTTTCTCAGTCCTTCTCTCACTTGTTACTGAATATGACTTTGAGCAACTTTTTATTTTACCTGGCTCCCCATCTTGACCATCAGTTCTGCACTCTGCTGCCCTGCCACACATTTGAAGTTTGAATGAGTGAATACCTGTATGTGCTAACAGGTATTAGCACGTGCTGACAGGTGCTGACAGTCCTGACATGTAAGTGGCCAGCAGATGGAAGCCATGAATACAGGAAGTACTTAGTAGTGATATATGAATTAACCAGGGCAAGGTGGTTGACAGCATGCAGGAGACTCTGTGATTGTTACAGTGCAGTGCTCAGATAGAGAACCCACAGCAGGTACTGGGGAGTCTGCACACAGAGTTTCTCTGAGCAGTGGGGGCCAAGGGCACTGCCTCTGCGGGGCAGCTGTGACCTGGCACCCTTGTTCTGCTGCCCCAGGTACAGAGAAAGTCCTGGTCACTGGCACCCAGACACTTAGCTGGAGCCAAGTGGAGATCTGCTTTAATTTTTCATTGTCCTAATTTCAATGAGCCGGTAAGATTTTAATGACACCTGGTGTTTCAAAATTCTGTCTTTGATGGACAACCTTTCAGCAAGGCTTCTGCTGTTCTAAAGCTAATTTCCCCCAACGTGGTCCAGAAGTCTTTTCAAAGGAGTAATTGATGTCCTGAGGTTTGTCATGCCAAGGGGAGCAAGGTTTAAGGACAGGATGGGGCCCAGGCATCTCACTTGAGGACCCCTCCCCCTTCCCTGCTGACTCCCAGTCTTGGCTCAACACTGGTTTTTCTGAGTCTTAAATTGTGTGTACCTCTTCCCCCATTACCCCCATAAGCCCTGGGCAACTCAGGGCTACAGGTGAGGAAATGGTTGGGGGGGGGGGAGAGAAGGGAATTGTCTAAGTTCTTAGGGCAGTAGGACCAATAGATCAAGGATATAGGGTTGAATTTTAAGGGAGAGCCTTATAATCATTCAACTAGCATTTATTCACTCAATCTCTAATCTTTATCTGGCAGCTACTCTGCACCCACCCCTGTAAGGCCCAATAGTAAAGGGCAAAATTCAGCAACAGCAATCCACCTGAGCACCTATTCTGTGTCAGGCACTGTGCAGGGCAGTAGAGATGCAGATGACCACGGTGACACCCTTGTCCACCAGGAGTGGCTAGAAGAGGCAGGTCAGAAGTAGGACTAAACCACGGCCCCTGTCTTCCTGTCTTTACTGCTGGCAGGGAAAACAGAACCCTCACATACCAGGTAGGGACCGAGTTGTCTGCCACTTGAAATAGGCTGCACTTGAGCCCCTGGGTAGACACCCAGGAAGGAGAGGGAGAGACCCAGCCCATGAAGGGTGTGGGCTGCTGAGTTGCTCCCGGTCTGGCGGCATGAACTTGGGTACTGTGGTCACAAGATAGGGATTCTTAGCCTGGTTTAGCTACCGATAGGGATGTTTAGGGTTCTGAAAAATAAAGCCAGGAGATTTCCTGGGACTAAGAGGAGGGGTCAGAGGACTCTCTAAGGGAAATTATTAGCCCCATTCAGCTGCGGGAAAGAAGTGCCTGAGGCAGAGCACTGATGGCACCATGCCCGCTAGAAGCTGTAGATAGGCTTCTGGTCAGGCAAGATCAGCCCCTTTCTCACAAGAGTACATCCCCTTCTAGAATTGGGGGAAACCCTAGATCCTTCTCCCCACTTAATTCTCACTGTCTTAAGTTCCAGGTAACTCTTAGGACATAAAAGAACCTCCAACAGGGGTTCTGTTTGCGCAGAACGAGCGGAACATAGCTGCCAATCCCAGAGGCGTGGGTCCTTGTGGCTACTTGTAACCTGCCCAGAATCACCTTAGGTTCTCAATCTCCATGAGAGATTGACACAAAATCATTCTGAGTACCCCACACTAGAGTAGAGTAGCTGAGTTCTTAATATCTGCTGAGTGGGGAGGGAGGGGACACAGTGGTGAGCTGCCATAAACCAGAGGTGCCTTTGCAGGCATTGTATCTTATTAACCGCAGTAACTTCTGCATGGTTTTTTTTTTTTTTTTAAAGATTTATGTTTGTATATAGAACTGGGGTACAGGCCAGAGGTGTGGGGGGTGAGAGGATTCACCAGAGACAGAGTGGGGAGCAGGACAGGCCAACTGATGAAGTATACTGCTGAGGGGAGCAGCAGGCAGGTCAGGAGAGGTCTGCCGCCCATGTGGGTCAGCTCCAGGGCGGGGATCGAACTTGCACAGAAGTAGCTGCAGTTTGTTTGCAGTGTTGCGTCCTAACCCACTACACCACCAGGGAGGGCCTCTGCATGTAGTTTTAAAAAACAGTGTCTGTGCAGCATGTGCCTTGGTGAGTCCCACAAAGCCTGCTTGGACAGGTGGTGTCAGAGGCCTGGTCAGCTGGCGTGCCTCCCCGGATGAGCCGCACCCTGGGCCCGCAGTCTGAAGGCTGGGTTTTCAATAGCCATGGGTTCCTTAGCACAGCTCACTTTTGGCATGTCTAGCCAAGGGGAAGCTTGGTATAGCCAAATCTTTGGGGCGTTCCATGGCTTCCCTTTTCATGTCCCCTTCATTCAATCCAGGGTTCATCTCTTGTGTTCCCAAAACTCCAGTTAGAGATACTGCCATTGAGGGGTGACATATGGCTTCCCATCACTAAGGGAGAAACTCCCCCTCCCTCCTTGCAGAGGCCTCATTTCCTGGATCAGAGGCCTCCACTCTGCCGCCAAATCGACACACATCACAGGAGAGAGGCCCAGGGAGAGCACAGCACTAGACCGGGCCCTGGAGGAGAATCAAGGCTTTGCTCCCCGCCAACCCCCCCACCTGCCAGTTTGCTTGTCCTCCTCTCCCCATTGGCCCAGGTGGGCTTGCAAGATCCAGCCTGCTTCCAGATAGGTCCCACCGTTCTACTGCTAGGCTGGCTCTGTTCACTGGACCTGTCTTCCTCCCTTTCACTTTTTTGCACAGGCCCTGTCCTTACAAGGCAGGCATGACTTTTAAACTAATTCTGCTGCTCTGAGTCTGTGATACTCACCTTCCAAAGCCAAGCCAGTATCCTGGGCCTGCCTGGTCTGTTCACCTGACATGGTTAGATTAGAAGCCTAACCACTGGAAGGAAATCCCATCCCAGAGCCAGGGCATCGGGCTTCAGCCCTCTGAAAATTCCTGAAGCTCGGGGCTATAATCACCCCACCACATATTTCCTCTTGCTCAGCTCAGAGACTGTGTAGGGCTTGCTCCTCTTGCTTGTTGAAAATTCCATCTATCCCCCAGGGGCCACTGTTTGTCAAACTGAGGATCATTATGTCAATTTGTGGGTCAAAGCTTGCTTGTTTTTAAAATGAAATCAAATATATCATAGTGCAGAGAAAACAGTGCATCATACTCAGTGACAGTAAATGTCAATTTGCAAAATGTTGGTTTCTGTTACGTGTATGTGTGCACATGTAAGATAAACACCGCCCTGAGGACGTGGTGTAGAGTCTGAAAAGACCATCCGCTGCACAGGGACAGTAGACGCTGGGCCAGCAAGGGTGGGCATGAGGACCATGCCCTGCTTGTGCAGTGCTGGATAATGAAACTCACTTGGTTTCTCCCCAGCCTAATGGCGGATGCCAGCCAGGATGCCAGAAACAACGGGAACTCTTCACAGTCTTGCTTATTCCCACGTCTCATCTTGCCCTACCTGTCCTGTGCTTTTTGGTTCGGTCACGTACATTATCTTGCCTTCCAAGGTGTGATTCTCACGCCTCCTGCTCTCTGCACCTAGGGTTTCCTACAACCCTTGGCCCCTTTGGGCACACCTCTTCCTAGAAGCCCTCTCTGACTGGCCAAGCCTCAGCTGGGCTCTTCCTCCACCTTCGCAGATGCGCAGTGCTGGCCGCTCCCTCCCCACTTGGCAGTGCCCCTCCCCATCCATCATTCTTCCTGGCGCCCCTGCCCCTCCACCTCTGACCAAGTCTGCCTCTGGCCCATAGGTGTCCGCTGTGACAGCACATGTCCACCTGGTCGCTGGGGCCCCAACTGCTCTGTCTCCTGCAGCTGTGAGAATGGCGGTTCCTGCTCCCCCGAGGATGGGAGCTGCGAGTGTGCCCCCGGCTTCCGAGGACCCTTATGCCAGAGAAGTAAGGCAGAACCCCCGTCATGCAGACCTCAGAAGGCTCATCTTCCCCACCTGTTCCCTGTTGGAACGAGGCATGGCCTTAGAGAGACTGGGCCTGAGTCAGCCCTTAGCAGAACCTTCCCTTAGTCCCCTTTTTTTCTGCTCTGGCTTTTCCATCCCCAAGTCCAGTGCCCTCTAAAGTGTGGGGTGGGCGTGACTTTCTCCATCTTCTAGGAGCTTCCCTTCATTGCTGTGTGGGAACCCAAGGGGTGGCCAGGCTGGTGGGGTTCCTTGGGCTGCTGATCACCATCTCCCCTTCACCACCAGTCTGCCCCCCGGGGTTCTATGGCTCTGGCTGCACCCAGCCATGCCCCCTCTGCGTGCACAGCAGCGGGCCCTGCCACCACGTCAGTGGCACCTGTGAGTGCCTCCCCGGATTCTCTGGAGCCCTCTGCAACCAAGGTACTGTCTCCCAGGGGTAAGGTGTGGGAGAGGGAGGAAAGGGGCAGGAAGGGGAGTGTCGGGGGCCCGTTGTGGAGAAGCTGCCGCTTCAGGGCCGAGGACCCTTCTAGGAAGTGGCAAGAGGCAGGTGACACAGCTGTCAGGTGTGAAAGGAACTAGCTCAGAGAGGGGAAATGACATGTCCTTGGTCTCACAGCTAGCAGGTGGCCGAGCTGAGGAATGAACTCTGACACCAAAAGCCATTCTACATAGGTAACAGATGAAGCTAGCATGGATGAAATTGGCTTATGCTGAGTTCCAAGTATAAAAGCAGAAAATAGTCTGGGCTTGGAGTTGATCATGTTGGCTTCAGCCGGAGACTTCCCAGCGCTTCTCCTTGGCACTGAGGCCAACCTCACTCACTAATCCCTCAGCACACCCTCTCACGTCTCAACAGCAGCATCCTCGCACCAGAGCCCCAACCACCCATTAGCACTTGCAGTGGTACAGGGCAGTGACACTTACTTGCATCGATAGCTGCTAAACCACCTGGGGCAGGGCAGGAGGGCCCCCTGATTTGTATCATTCACAATTTCTGCCCACATTCCCATGATACCAGCTTCCCACCATGGCTAATTACAGGTGCCAGTAGTTTAGCACAGACCACAAAACTCCTGAATGTTTAATACCATCGTGAAGGCAGAAGCTGGCTCTGGCCTGTGTCATTGTTTAGCACGGTCCCTGACTGGGTTGGGCCAAGACACACTGGACTTAGGGAGACAGCGCCATACTGTGCAAGGCCTCAGCTGGGCCTTGGCTTGAAAGGACAAGGAAGGAGGAGGGAAAGCCTTCCAGTAGAGGAAACAGACTGGGCAAACGAGTGGACAGGTGGCTGTCCAGCAGTGGGGAATGGCTGAAGGATTTTGGGAGCTGGGGCTGGGAAAGGGCAATGAGAAAGCAGCCCTGTTGCCTTGGGAACAGCTTGGAGCACAGGGTTGCAGAATTTGTACTCTAACCCCTAAGGAATGAGGGATATTAAACTAAGGTAGTAGAGCTCAAAGCAACTTCAAGGTCATCTATCCAAGAATCTTATCTGGCCTCTGCTTAAGTACTTCCATTGAGAGCTCACTGCCTCCCAGGGGAACGGATTCTTTTGATGAATAATCACCACTGAGCTAGGCTATTTTTGTAAGTGTATGGGCCGTTAATATGTATGAGAGGAAAGTTTACTTCATGATGCTTTGAGGTCATGAGAAGTTTGGGCCCCAGGGAAACATATGTGACAGTTTCATTTGCTTGCAGCCCTCTTAGGACAGTTTAATCATAACCTGACATGTCAAAGTTTACTTATTAAACATTGGAGACCAGGCCGTCAATACAGATAGGCTGGGTCTAAATTAGTACCTACGCAGCCCGAGGATAACTCAGATCCTGCGATGTCTGATTTATCGCCCGCTGGCCTAATGAGTGTTTTCCACATATAGATCTAATGGAGTTTGCTATTAATGGCAACTGCCCTGGTTAAGTCTCAAACCTTGTAAAAAATTGAACTGACACTTTCTAATGACCGGCTTTCCAGTGAGTTACAAATTACAGACACTGCTTATGCAGAATCATTAAACATAGATTAAATATAACCAGATGTTTTCTTTTCACCAGCCCCCCTTCTTACCACCACCCTTCTCTTTGCCTCACTCTTGATTCAGCCAAGAAGTGGACCAATTAATGTATTAGACTGATCACATTAGCAGCTCTGTGGGTGAATTTGTCAGCCTTGTGTATGTGAGAAAGACTTCAAAGACTGTCTTGTTAGAGAAACAGAGTTGGGTTTGACTCAACTCTGATGGGAGTAGGGAGAAAAGACTGGACACCCCTCTCCCCATGGGGATCCAGGGCTCTGGTTTGGATGAGGTGCCCAAGTCAAGGCCCCTCCCGGAGAGGCAGGAAAGAAGACTAGGTAGGCAACCTACTTTGCAGAAAGCAGAAGTTTTAAGTTTGCAAACAGGTAACATGCTATCATCCTCCCAGCAGCAGACCTGACCTGCAAGGCACTAAGGCTTTTGCTAGGAGAATCACAGAGGCCCCAAACCAGCCAACCTGCCGGAACTATTAACCACTGCCTTAGATCAGTGGATGAGGGTTATCACCCCCATTTCAAAAATGAGGAAACACTGAAAAGGATGATATGGTTTGTTCAAAGGTACTTACCTGGCAAGTGGCAGAACTTCCCTACCTGTGTGACCTTGAACAAGTTACTTAATCTCTCAGTGCCTTAGTTTCCTCTTCTGAAAAGTCAAGCTAATAGTAGGGAGCAATAGTGACAAAAAATATAATATTTATAAGCTTAATTGAACTAATACTTGTGAAGCACCTTGAATAGTGTCTGGTACACATAAATGTCACAATAGTTTGTTGAATTCATAATTAAGGTTTTGGAGTGGAGAGCCCAGTAGCCCATGATGCCTTTGTGATTTGTCCCAAATGCTATGCGTCACTAATGCACAGAGCAGGCATAGACCCTACGTGCCAGTCTGGTTGGGAAAGGACCGGTAAAATGAGCTAGGGTGTTATAAAGTGAGGGTGCCAGCTGAAATTTAGAGAGACACAGGCCCTGGAGAAGTTGCTTCTCTTCAAGAATCAATACCTTATGATCCAACATGTGACTCAGTCAACTGAGGGCTCAAGTGAGGCAGAAGTTCCTCCTCGATCATAGAAATGAAAGGTACGCCATCTTGGAAGATGTAGAGCTGGCTGGGACTGGGCTTGGAGGGGGAGCATGGTGAACTGAGAGTTTAAAGGACAAGGGCTCACAGATTCACAGAACCCACTGGAAGGTTGCTGCTCCTGGGGTGTGTTTTGGTCGTTTGGAACATTTCCTCGGTGCTCATTGTATGTCAGGCACTATGCTGGGAACTTAGACACAACAAAGATCAAAGGAACTATGTTCCTACCCTTCACAAATCCTGCAGTCTGGAGGGGAAAAATCCCTGCTTAGCCTTTTTTAGCAGAACTCGCTGCTCAAGTGGGGAGGAAGGGACAATCGGTTTATTTCCACACATTCAGCCAGCATGCGTTGAGTGCCTGTTGCTTTTACGGGCTGTGTAGGAAATGCAGCCCTGGCCTGAAAGAAGCTCATTACCCATCAGAACAGACTTGAAAATTATAACCACTGTTACCTTCACACACACTATTTAAAAAAAAAAAAGGTAAGATCCAGAAGTAGGCCCTGGGAGTGATAGGATAATTTATGAAAGTCAGGGACTCAGGCTCCTTCTATCTTATTCTACCACTCTCAGCACATGGCTCCCACCTCTGATGAAAGTCAGCTGTTTGAATGACAGTCATCATATCCATAGTTCACCCATAATCCACGTTATCCTTCACATAGAAGGAACTAGAACATAAAAATACACATTTCTATTAGCATGGCCATAACCAGCTGTGCAGTAGCCCAAGAAATGAAATCTTTATTCCAGCTGGCCATTTTCCCAGTTCTTGTAAGAACTGATATCGAAGGACTAGCAGTCTGCTCAGAGATCATAGTGGAGGTAACATTTAAGAATAGTCTAATAGACAAGATTGGATTCCCATTGCTGGACATGAGGGCCAAAGAAATCTAGAAGATTTCTTTGAAGATTTGGAGTGAAGGCACAAAGGCATAGTGTTTTTTGTTTTTTTTTTTTGAAACTGGTGTGTGTCTGGATGAAGAAGGTTGAGTACTGGTCTGTAAGTTCCAGATCTTATTCTCAGGCGATGAGGGACCACTGACTTTGTCCAAGATGGGCACAGAGTGCCAAGAGAGCTGTGCTTTAGAGAGTTCAAACTGTGGGAAGTTAAGAAGATGAACTGCAGAGTCAGTGAAAAGTAGGTGCTCAGTTAACAGCCTCATTGAGGACGCCGGCTCTTTCTCCAAGGACCAGGAGTGATTCTTCAGGGACCAAGCTCTTACAGGAGACGCCAGGTGGAAATATCATGAGTGCTCAGTGGAATAGAACTTAGACTTCAGGAGTAGAGGCAGGAAGCAGGTGGACAAGAATAGACATTCAGGCCCAGTTCAACAGAAGTTTGATTGTAGATAGACCTGCCACCTTACATGTGTCCCTCTCCTTCCAGTTTTAAAAATTGCCCACCCTCATGGCTAAGGAATCAGTGATGTTGCCTCAGTTGGTAATGGAAAGCTGCCGCTATGCAGGGAGCCCTGGACTGATTTGAGGTGCTATTTCCAGCCCCCACCCCCCACTGTTCTCTGTGAGACTAAGTCACATGTTCCTACCTCTGTGGGTCCTCAGTCTGTTCTTGTCAAAGGGGATCATCAACAGAGCATCCAAAAAAATGCAGCTGTGGGGAAAGAAGGGTGTGCAAATAGAAAAGGGTGGTGATGAGGTGCTAAACAGGTAGGCAGTTGCGATCCTTATTTGTGACCCCAGGGTGGTTGTGGGTGATAGAAGTACAGATAGAAATGCAGGTGTCAGGCTGTTATACACCCACAGTGTGTGCTGGAGGGCACTTTGGGCAGGACTGTGCCCAGCTCTGCTCCTGTGCCAACAACGGGACCTGCAGCCCCATCGATGGCTCCTGCCAGTGCTTCCCTGGATGGATTGGCAAGGATTGCTCACAGGGTAAGCTGCTGCCCCTGGGGATGCCCTCCACCTGGGGTCAAGCTCTGAAATACCCCTTCTCCTCACCTAGAACCTTTGCCCCTGTGCCTCCACTTTCCAGGGCTGAACTCTAAACAGGAATGCCCACCCGAGTCCTATTGAGCTCTAACTAATATAAATTATCAAGATTAACCATTGGCATTATTAACTGCTCATGCTAAGGTATTGAGATCATTGATAGTACCTTAATACTGAGATACTTCATCAGCAACTGAGCAAGGAGGTGCCCCTAATATGGATGGGGAGGGGGCAAGGACTGGCGCAGGAGCTTGGGAGTGGGGAAGGGACAGTCACCTTGGAGGGGTGAGGACATCTTCTGGGTGGTCCATTTGGGCGACATCTGGGTATTACAACTCTGGACAAGGCATTGTAGGGGCTGTCTGTGTAAGGCATAGCAAATCTCATGTAGCAGTAACTGGGAACCCCCCAATCTAAAGGGGAGATTCCACTTGGGAGCTCCTTGACTGATGGGTACCCGTAGTGAGATCCCAATTAGATGCCTTGGCCTGAGGAAATTTCCATCAGCAGACTCAGGTGCCACTCTCAAGTCCAGCCCTGGGAAAGTACCTATCCTCATAGGGAAGGTAGCACACACAGCATCCACACCCTAAACCACAATGTTTACAGGTCCCCACACACACCTATCTGCTCCCATTCAGTTAAATACCCCCACCCCCGCAAGATTTAGAAGCCAGAGTGGGCAAGGAATTTGGGTTAATGGGAATTCTGGGTGACTAAGCCAAGGCGTGAGGGAGTTCTGGGACCAATTCAAGTCCCCTGAAAGCCAGGCAATGCCACTTGATGCATCAGCTGACTTGCGCTCCTCCTCTCCCTCCCTCTCCTTCTGCTCCTCTGCCTTGCCCCCACCCTCTGCATCCCACCCATCCCCAGCTTGCCCACCTGGGTTCTGGGGCCCTGCCTGCTTCCACACATGCAGCTGCCACAACGGGGCTCGCTGCAGCGCTGAGGATGGGGCCTGCCACTGCACCCCAGGCTGGACTGGACTCTTCTGCACGCAGCGTAAGCCCCGCCTCCCGGCCTCCCAGCCATTCAGAATCCCATGCTGCAGCCTACTGGCTGCCAGGGGCATCGTCTGGGCTTGCAGCACAGCAGGGAGGGAGGAGGCAGGCCCCAAGACTGGGGTCCTCCCTGTATCCCTTCCCCAGGATTGGGGAGTCTGGTTGGATTCAGGGAATAAATGGGCCCAAGGTCCTGGAAGATCAGGGCTGTAAGATACCCCAGCCATCACCAAGACCACATCCTCCTTGGACACTAGGACTCAAAGTGGGGAGGGGTGGCCAGTGGCTTCATAGCAAACAGCACCCCCCACCACTACCATCCTGGCCTCTGGTCTAAGGCACCTTTGTCCAAAGGACTCCCTTGCCCCTTCAGTATGAATCCAGAGTGTGAGACAGTTGGGGTTTGGGTTGTGGGTGTCTCATTGGTCTTCACTTCAGGTTCAGAAAACAGGTCTGACCCCTCACCTCTGCAGCTGTCCCACCCTCTTTCTCCAGGCTGTCCGGCAGCCTTTTATGGGAAGGACTGCGGGCGCGTGTGCCAGTGTCAGAATGGGGCCAGCTGTGACCACATCAGCGGCAAGTGCACCTGTCGCACAGGCTTCACAGGGCGACACTGTGAGCAGAGTAAGTTCCAGCCCGTCCTGGTGTCACTGTCAGTACAGCAAGCCTCCCCCTTGAAGGTCCTCTCATTCAGACCTCTGCCTCCAACTTTTGGAGTGACTCCCAAGGGAAAAGGCCATGCCTACACTGGCATTTTAAGAGTTCTTCCTCCAGCTGACGTGACGATGAGGGATGCTGAGGCAGACACCTGAGGAGGTGATGAGGGAAGCAGATCTCATTTGATTCTTCTTTGACGCACCCACTCCAAGCCTGGCACATGGAGGATGCTGTGTAAATGTGTCGTGAGAGGGAAGGAGGGACGGATAGAGCCTGCTCTCTCCTCCTCTACCACTATCCCCCAACTCAGGGCTGGGGGTGCTCTGTCTACCCCGATGTCAAGTTACAGCACAAGAAGAGCTGCAGGGAAAGTTCTACTTGCTCAGGGCGAGGCAGTACTAGCCGATCGATCGATCGATCGTCACAAGGGTCCACATGGGATGGAGGAGCTGAGTAGGCGATCTGTCTACCCTACTTCTTCTTGCTACACAGGATGTGCCCCAGGAACCTTTGGCTATGGATGTCAGCAACTCTGTGAGTGCATGAACAATGCTACCTGTGACCATGTCACTGGCACCTGTTACTGCAGTGCAGGATTCAAAGGAATCAGGTGTGACCAAGGTAACACACAGATGGAAGGGTCCCATGGAGGCAAGCCCAAGGGAAATGCCAGTAGGAACAAATAAGGGCACTTTGACTTCTCTGCATGTTTGGGAGCACAGCATGAGTGGAGCGGGCTGTAGTGGCTCTAGGTGGCCTGTCATGGCTTCTAGGACTCATCTGACAAATTTCCTGTGAGCTAAAGGGTCAGCACACAAGCTAGTGCTGCAAAGTGGCCACCAGACTGAGTAGGAAGGCATGTCAGATTCTGTTCTGCCATTACCTGCTAGGTGGTTTTGAGCAGTTTCTTTCCTTTGATAAGCCTGTTATTGTACAGGCAAAGCAGGAAAAGTAGATTATAACTCTTACCTTTATCCACGACACAAGGTTCCACCTCAGGCCAAGCAGCCCACAGGAACTCACCCTTGGTTCTGGCTCCATAATCCTTTGCACTTCATAGTGCAGTTGTGAGGACCAAATTGAGATTAATGTGAGATGTCAGCACAGTGCCTAGCACCTAAGCAAGCACTTGGTAAATGGCTTTATATATAAAGAATTATATTGTTGGTTCCAGGAGCTGGGGGCCGAGAATGGGCCTTTAATTATTCCCATTACAGAAAAAGAGCCAAAAGACATTTCCACTGCATTCCAACACCTTATCATTTAGAATAAGCAGCATACTCATCTCCCTAGTGATGTTGGCTGGCTCTGCTCAGCCAGTTGCTGATAGTCAGGGAGGGGGGTCTGGATGCTGCCAGGCCAGCAGGATGGAGGGAGTTAGCCTCAAGAGGGCTGATATGACTGACAGCCTGACCATGAAGAGAGCCGGACTGCTGTCTTCATGTTACAAGCGAACAGATTAAAGTAGTAAGCAAGGATAAGGTTGCTAAGTCCACATTTTTCCAACTTCTGAGAGATTTAACTAATTACTGGCTGTGTGATCTTGAACAAGTCATCTAGCCTTTCGTGACTGTAACCATAAAGAGGCTTATCTCATCTAACTGCTTAGAGCCAAAGTGGAAACATTCCATGAGCATTATTTTGTTTCCCATGCATGGTCACCTTTATTCCCTGTCATGATGCTGGGAATCCATTGCCCTTAAGTGAAGACACTGGCCCAGTGAGGGCTGGGGTCATACAGGTCTCCTAACATGTGAGGGCTCCAGGTCCCAGGCTCAGGCCCTCCTTCCACCCACAGCTGCCCTCATGATGGAGGAGCTGAATCCCTACACCAAGATCAGCCCAGCGCTGGGTGCAGAACGGCACTCGGTGGGTGCCGTCACAGGCATCGTCCTCCTGTTGTTCCTCATTGTGCTGCTGCTGGGCCTGTTTGCCTGGCGCCGTCGGCGACAGAAAGGGAAGGGCCGCGACCTGGCTCCCCGCGTCTCCTACACGCCTGCCATGAGGATGACCAGCACTGACTACTCCCTCTCAGGTAAGGGCTACAACCCCCAGTGTCCACCTGTTTCCCTCCATACACCCAACCCAGGAAGAGCCCCACAGAATCCTCAGATGCCAGGGTTTATTGCTGAAGGTGAATGGTCATTCCTGTGGGGGCTGGCTCTGGGGCTAGACACAGACTCTCCCAGAGACACTGGGGAGAGAACTTACCTGGGAAGGTAGATATGGGTCTGTGTGTGTCATTTCCTAGGTGCCCAGGTCTGGTTCGAAGCCTCCTCCTTTCCCCAGCCTTCTCATCTTTCTCATCAGGCTTCAGCCACATTAACACCCACACTGCGCAGTAACTCTCCTAAAGGCTTGCAGGGAAACCCTTCCCAGACTGATGCCACCTGGGCCTTGAGACTCAGGGTCAGGCTCTGTTCTATTTTCCTTCCTTGATGAAAATTTCAGAGCAACTCTCCTCCCAGTTCCTCAGGTGAGGAGGCCTCATAAGTAGAATAAAAGGGAATGGTGCCTGACTTGAAGAAAGTCTAAAAGTCTGGGTTCTCGCAGCCCTAGCCAGAGAGACATTCATTGCCCAGTCAGCCCTCAAATGTGTCCCATGGGCACTGGATTATGAGTGGGAAGGGCTGCTGTAGAATCTTTCTCCAAGCCTGCACTTCTGCCCTAGAAGTAAAGCTTTTTACTTCCTATTTAAGCAGAAGAGGTCAAATTACTTGGAAATGGCCCAGAGCTCTGGCCCACAAGAAATTTCTTGTGACTGCCTACTTCAGCCAGCTCCATAGCTCAGGGCTAACCTACACCTCCTGGACCTTGTGCTTAGAAAAGCAAGATCACGGCGGTGCATTCCTTCTCAGTGCTGCCTATCATGTGTCCTGCTCTGTGGTAGAAGCTGAAGGGCAGACGTGCAGACCCTGCCTGTAGAGTTCTGGCCTGCATGCCTCGCTACAGTTCAGCCAAAGTAGGCTTGGTAAAACCCCAAGCCCGCAGAGAAGATCCGGGGTTTTTCTTCTTTTATGACTGCAATGAGCAAGGTTGGCTGGGGTTTCCCTAATGATTCCATTAGAACTCCCCAGCCCTAAAGTGAGGTCTTAGAACCCACAGGAGGGCAATAGGACCCTCAGCATAGAGCAGTGACTCGGTGATATCTGAGACTGTCAAAGCCATGGATGTCTGTCCTCATCCATGTGCCAGCTGATGGAGGGGCCACAACAAGGGAAGGAGCAAACCAAGCTCTACAGGTTGTGGTGGAGATACTAGAAGGCTGCGGGGTGGGGGACCTGGCTGTCTCTGCAGAGCACTCAAGGCTGCCCATTTCAAGCGTTCATACTGGGTGGTTCATGCCAAGGGCAGGGGTATGATGGTCTGTGGCACCTTGTTCTCTTCCCAGATTTGTCTCAAAGTAGCAGCCACGCCCAGTGCTTTTCCAATTCCAGCTACCACGCACTGGCGTGCGGGGGGCCTGCCACCAGCCAGGTCAGCACTCTGGACAGGAACAGCCCCACCAAGGTACTGGGCCCCTGACTCCCTAGCCTCCATGCGCTATCTCCCATCCTTACCTCTGCCCAGAAAGGAACTGCAGCCCCCAACTGGGGGTTCCATGTGGAACCAACTGCCAACAAATTAAGTGCGGCCTTTTGATTCACGAAAATATAGACACCCTGGGAATCAGGAGTCAGCAGATTACATGGTGCCAACAAGTACGGTATAAGCAACGATAGCATCACACACTAGAAGGTGTACCCCACACACCTGTGTGTAACCAAACCAGGTAGCATTTTTGGTATACACAAATCACACCACCTACTATCAGTTACTGCAATATGTTACAAACACTGCAGCCAGCACATTAGAATTACAGAGTGGCCACTGGTACACATTGTGTCCTCACACCAGGTCATCCAGATGCCCCACAACCATCTGTTGCAACCAGAACCTACACAAGGGACATAAATCCAAACATCAGGCATCTCCCCTCCTCACAGCCGAAACCCTGGCTGATGGCAAGATGTCCTCCTACAGTCGCAGGCCCTTGGGCAAGGGTATCTTACCACATGAGGAGACCCCCTGGTGTGCCAGGACCCAGAGTGGGAGGTTCAGAAATGAAGACTAAGGACAAAACAGGCTCGTGCTGCACACCTCTGACACCCACCTGAGCACATGCATGTTTACAGGATGACCACTGGGGTGTAATCCCAGGACCCTAGGCTTCCTGGAACATCCGTTCTGAGCCAGACTGTTCTTATAAGCCAGGGTTCCATGCCCCATACTGTATTACCCTTGCTAGGGGTATTCCCCATGGAGAATGCCCACCAGCCCCTACACATGGCCTTTTAGCTTTGGTCTTTCTTTCTCAGCTTAGACCTTTATTCCCAGCTTCAAATCTAGGCTTTTTTGAAGCTGAGAGAAGGAAAGTGGCAGTTTCCCTGTGGAGGCCCGAGGTTAACTAGAGCCACTGTTACCAAGTCTACAACAGCTTAGCAGCAAAGCCTCTTGTGGCCTTGTCTGTCTTGACCTCATCCTACTCTCTTTCAGTAGGGGCTGGAGTTCCTGCAGAATAGCCCACCTGTGACTCACCTTGCTCAAGAGGTCTAAAGTGGCTGTGTGGTCAAGGACCCCTAGAAGATAGGGCATTTGTAGCAGAGGCAGGCAGTGGTGGTGACAGGGATCTGAGTTGGAGACCCAGCTCTGCTCCTGACACCTGTGTGACCTTAATCAGGGCTGACAAGCAGGACTCAGGTCCCCAGCTGTGGAAAAAAAACCACCATCCTTCTCTCATGAAAGGCAGCTATGAAAATGGAGAAACAGAAAAAGTATACTGTTAAGGACTCCATACTTGGAAGCTTTCTCTTGATCACATGGAAGAGAAACTCTCAGGCCAAGTGGCAGAGGTGAGAGTGATGCTGTAGGCAGCCTCAGGACTTCCCTTTGGGCCGCAGACAGCTTCATGGTGCAGCTCCACCCAGCTCACCTGCTTTCCCTGTCAGGCTCAGCTTGGGAAGCCCCTTGCTCAAAAGGCCTGGAAACCATACTTTAGCCAAATAGCTTAGATGGCCTCAGCTATGTCCTCATGGCCTGTGGGGAAAACACCTTGCTCTCCCTTTCCCTCAATGAGTTAGGTGGGTCAGGATCATCCCAGGGGCAAGTACATGAGGTTGGACAAAGTGATGGATTGGGGGTATGATGTATTAATTTGCTCTCCTACTCTCCAAACAGCTCAGTAACAAGTCCCTTGACAGTGATACAACAGGCTGGACCCCCTACAGCTATGTGAACGTGTTAGGTCAGTAGTGGTTTGAGTCCGGCCCTCCTCCCCCCAATATGTCCCACCCTGTTCTTCTTCCACATTGAGAGGGCCCTTGTACCAGCTCCAGAGGTAATTAGTGGATGGTTTCCCTCAGGAAAAAAGGACGTGGGGAGGAAACCCACATCCCTGTTTTAACTTTGATATGCAGATATAGCCCAGAACCACCTTTATTCCTGAGGATTGGTGGAATGTGACTGTGAGCTAGGAACCACAAAGGAGACAGTCTGGCTGTGTGGAGGCAAAAGATGCACTTGCCATTTGGGAAAGGAACTCATACCTGACTCAGGGCCTACCAATGTGCCTCCTGTTAAGGGCTGACTTCCGATAGGGGGTGGAGGGAGGGCAAGCAAGGCAGAGGGCCTTTGCTCTAGCCAATCCCTGGCCCCAGTGCCCCTTTGGATGCTACACACAGAAGCCTTAATTCCTTCCAGGCTGCCCCACCCTGATCCTGACACACCCCCTCCCCTGCCATATCAGGGTCCTGGGAATAATGGCTCCTCCCTGTCATTCCTCTCACTAGACTCCCATTTCCAGATCAGTGCCCTGGAGGCCAGGTACCCGCCCGAGGACTTCTACATTGAACTTAGACACCTCAGCAGCCCCGCTGAGCCACACTCACCAGGTTAGACCCCCACCTCCCCATCCCACCCTCCACCAGCCCTACCCTCTATCCCGTGGGCACTTGTGGCTTCCTTACCAGCTCCAATCCAGCACCTACCCTAAGCCCCCTTCCTGCCCCATGACCTAGCCCCACGGTCCCCAGAACTCTACCTATTGAGCTTCTCCCAACATCAGTCTACAAAGCCCAATGGCCTACCTACAGAAAGAAAACTATCTGGATCCTTCCCATCAGTCCTCCACTCCTATCATGGCCAGTGGATGTGGATAAACTGCAATTGGTGTTAGGTTAAGGGGACAACATAATTACATTCCCTACAAGTCACAGAAGATAACCTAAGAACATCAAGAAATGACTTGGGGATGGCAATACTTTTGAGGTTCTCTACCCAGAAAGCCCAGTATCTCCTGGCTGGACACTCCAGATCCAATGGCCAGGCCACTCTCTGCTGGCTGACATGGTCAGGGGAGCTGGAGAGGCTGGGGCAGATAATGTCAACAAACATCCTTTGTGCTCATCCTTAGACTCAAACCTGATGGCCTGGAAGAGATGCAAAGACTTAGGATGACATCCTGCTTGGGGGGGGGGGGGGGAGGAGGAGATATGTGGGCATCAGGGGTGCCCACACCTAAGTACAGTGAATTAAGGGGGAAATGAAACACTACCAACCCTTTCAGGTGCCTGGGTCTAGCAGCACTGAGTGATGTTTCTGAATCTTATCTGCCCATTGCTCTGGCCAGGGCTGTCAGGATCTTGGAACTATACCAAGGAGTCTGGCACCTCAGCCTCTGGGTAGTGTTCACAAAACCACTCTGAATCTCAATATGGGAGCATCCTCGGCACAGTCCAAATTTTGCCTTCTTTGCAGATCTCACTCTTCAGCCAGAGCCACAGTCATTTTTTTAACTGAGATTTAAGACAGGCTAGGGAGAGCATGCTAGGAGGCATCTGAACTCATGCTGCAACTCAACTTCTTGTTGGTGTGGGCTTTCCTTTCTATAGAAAGGGAAAAAGTTCTAACAATCTAGTGTTCCCTCCTTCAGGGAAGGTGAAGGAAGCAGCTGTCTGATAAAAAGTGCTGAACTGATGCCAGAAATAGACTTTTGCAGTGTGTTTCTGAAAGGCGCATGGATCCAGAAGGGCTTTAGAAGAACAGTGAATTTGAGAAAACCATGTACCTGGTGCTACCATGTCACTCAGTGATGTGTGGAAGACAGCTGTGCACACAGAGTTAGTAAATTCTTACAAGTTCAGCATGGGAAATCAAATATCTGAACAGAAAATTGTTGCCCTCAGTGATTCTCTTCAGGGGAGAATCAAATGGAGTCAAACTGTAAGCACTTGTTGCATGCTTGACCTACTATTGGGTCCTCAGTTAAAAGCTGAAAGAAGATAAATACCTTAGACTTTGCCAGAGTCCTGTCCCACCTGTAAAATGCCAGTTTTTTTTCTGGGATCACCAGCAGCAAAGAACCTGAGCTTGGTCACTGATGCTCTATGGCTTGCCTCTGGCTGTGTTGTGGGAACCTAGGGTAAACCAAATGAGAGAGAGATCCTTGGCACTGAAAACCCTGGTGTAACTTTTCAAAGACAACTAAATTATATGCAAATGGTTCCACAGTCAGCTCTTTGACTGTGGGAATGACTGTACAGCCCATAAAGATGAGTAATCAAGAACTTCAGCCACCTATTCACTTCTCCGACTCCTCTTAGATGAGTTTGTGACACAGAAGAGGCAGGACTGGACCTGAGGAGAAATATCCCTGTTTGAAATCCAACAGAACTGGGATTTGAAACCACGTATTCTTACCCAAGCTAAGAGCTGATTCTGATGAATTTTTAGTGTCTGGAACTTCACCTCCTATGATTGCAAAGGCATCAGAAGTGCCTTTGATCAGCTAGGGGCAGACCTTCCCTTCCCGAGTGTGAAGATTAAAGCAGAAGAGGAGTGCCAACGGCCAGGGCAGGTAGCAGTCGCTCACTGTTAGTGCTTATGAGCCTTTGAGAATCCCATATGGTCAAAAGTATTTAAAGTAAACTCTAAACAGTGATTTCCTAGCATTAAGAACTGTTTGTTCTCTAGAAGGGGGTAGAAATGAAGCAAGAACACCTGGAGTCTAAAAAACCTCAAAACCCCCACGTTTTTCTTTCTTTATACTATTTCCTTGCAGGTACTTGTGGAATGGATAGACGTCAGAACACATACATTATGGACAAAGGCTTCAAAGGTAGAGTATCCAATCCTGACGTCCCATTAGAAAGGGCTTAGCAAGATAACGAGTGCAGATCTGAAATGGCCAGGAATTCTACCAGAGAGAAACTGCGCAACTCTTCCCCCACCCCCCTAAAAAAATTAAAAGACCACAGGACCGGGGGATGCTGGGTAGCTCTGCCCAAGGAGGAGCAACCATAACCAAGTCATCTTTCTATTTCAGCTGCACCTGCTTAGCAAAATGCTTGTGGGTTTTTTTTATAGATGCCAAATAAATGTCTTCGGAAATGTAGAACTTCATTATCCAACCAATTAGTATGAGTTAAATTGATTATAAAATTGAAATAAAGTCAATCTACCTGCCCCAGAGACCTCCTGTCGTTGTACTGGCGAGGAACACCACTCTGCACCTGCCGGCTTTCTGGGGTATAAGACATGGAAATGATGCCAGATATTAATACTGCATGGCACTCCACTCCTACAGTGGGGAAACTAGGACTAACCCCAAACACAACGGAAGTGCAAGACACGATCCTTCTAGGAAGTCTACAGGTGAAGTGAAGGGTCAGGTTCTGCCTTGGTCTTAGGCACTTGGGTTAAATGACACAATGGCAAAACAGGTGGCTTAGAACTCTGTCACTTATTAACTGAACCCCAAGGCAGTTTCTGTTCTAGCAAGGTTATCGTGACTATCCAATCAATCACAAGGAAGTGTTTTTTGCATATTGTGAAGGGCTGCACTAATGTAATGTTCTCCTGTCTTTAAGGTCTACTTAGGAGTCTCTAACAAACTTAAGGAGATATGACTGACAGCAAAGATACCAATAGATATCCTAAACCTATCTGTACACCAGAATCACTTGAAAAGTTTGTTAAAAATACAAAAGTTCACCACTCCCCAAAATTCTGATAAAACAGGTCTAGAATAGGGCCACAGAATCTGCATTTGTGATGAGTGCCTAAGAATACCCATATGGAGCATATCACCCAACTTAACAATTAGAAAGCACTGGTATGGACTGCCACAAATTTCCTGGTCTTTCAGGTTTAGCCTTAAATACATCCAACAATTATTTTCTACCAGAGCTAGTTGCTGACATCCCTTGGCAGACTGGTTATTAGAAATGGGGTGAGCTGGTAATGTTAGTATTGAGAGAGAACAGGAGGGCAAATGTTAGAATGTACATGGCCCAAAAGAACAGAGAGGTCACCACAGACTCCTGGCCAACAAACAGCTCTACCCCTGGACAGCACCACTGTGGAGATTTTCTTATGAGTTGTGACTTGATGTAAACCATCTAAATGAGGGCAAGTACTGTCACAGCTGGCGAGACTACCAGAGAAAAGACAACTCTGCTTTCACGGTGACCTAGGACCTCAGTTTCCTCCCCAAGGTCAAAGCAGCATGGGGAGGGGGCAGAAATCTCTCTACTAGCATTTCCATCTCTGAAAATATGTATGACTCAAATGTGAAGCAGCTCAGACAGGTCCAGACAACACAGTAAGTGAGCACACAACTTTTTTATGCACCTAGTTGTCCTGAGTATTGTGATGAGGGTAGCTCCTTCCAAACTTAAAACCACAAATGTAAACCAAAGCTATGAGACAGTGTCTGCCTCAGCGTCATTCCTGTTTTATGGGAGCATATACCTGAGCTTCTAAGTTTAGCAGGCAAGTGACCAAGTTTTGTTTCAGGAGATTACCCATCTTTTAAGTTAGAGAAATGAAGGTTGCATTGACAAATGTATCAGCAGGTTTTGGGGATCAACATATCAAAGCAAGAGAATTCAAAAACAGAAATATGTCTCAGTTCAGAACTTTACAGCAAAACTTACCAAAGACATATGACCCCACTAACTGAACTCCCAAATGTCCTAACAGGTATTAAATTATTTCCAAAAACTGTTGAGCAAAACTGAATCAGAATGCTAGGAGTCAAGAGTCCTCTGAACTCAATGGGAAAGCAAACTGGCTGAGATTCAGGTTCTATTCCTCATTCCTGCTATATGGTACTCACTAGATCACAGTGGTGTTCTCTGGGCCTCTGTTTTCTTCCGCTGGAGGGCAGGGCTGTAGTAGCAACATCACATTCTTTCAGCTGTCTTGGAAATTACAGACTACCATTCACACTGCTGTGCTAAACCCACTGTTTACCTCTGAACAGTCTGGCCTCCCCTTCTCCCTATGTGCACAGTGATTCTGTAACAAACTGCCTCTTACTCAATTCCTTGTCAGTCAAGCATTTTAAGATGCTCTGGAAGTCCTGAAGTCCTAGATACCACTGTTGCCTGTTGCTACCATTCCCCCACCCCCATATTCCTTGTTAACCCAAGCTCCAGGCCACCCTTGCAGTAACCTTGGGTTCCCAAGTAGTTAAGAGACTACTTTTATCCTGAAAACATCTTTTCCAGTCAGTGTTTTTTCCTTCAGACCTTGAGATCTCCCCATTCCTTTCCACACTGCCTTGTCTCAATCAAGAAAAAGATGCTAACTAAGGACCCAGAAAAAGACAGTGTGTCCTTCTAGTAACAGCATTGGGCCAACAGATCAGAGATGGGTGTTCAGTGCCTGGGTTTTCTTCAGTGAAGATTGGCCTTACGTAGATGTTAATGTGAACCTAAAAGTCTGGGTTAGTTTGATAGTCACTCATAAGCAGGCCTTGGAAAGTCGCTTGCCCTCTGAATTTGCTGTTTCCTTTATCAAATGAGTGCTTAGATTAGCTCATTTCAGAGGCTCCTTCTGCTCCTAATATATGGTTATGGGTTATTTGGGGGAGGCAGAAACTAAATGAGAGCAAATGCCAGGGCATTATAGGACTATGCTGCCTGCACGGATTCTAATTACAGGGTTTGTAAGAGTGACTCCCTAGAGCTTTGGTAGGCCGAAGCTTCCCTTTTCTTTGCAAAATGCCCTGAAGTGCAGGGACTGGCTGAAGAGTAGGATGAGGAAGTATTTTAGAGTGCCTGGTTATTCTTCCCCTTAACCCCTCCCTCTCAGCAGGCAGGTAGATGACTCAGCTGGAGAAAATAGCAGCTTCCTGAAGCAGAAACTTCCAGCTGGCCTTGCTCTTCCCCACCCTTCAGTTCCCAGTAGAAATAGGATACAGATGATTCTGTACTTCAATACCCTGCACCACCACTCACCTCCTCCCCACCCTACTCCTATCCTTTACCTCTGTAATTATGGAAATTACAGTTTCTCCCTGAGACTAATCCCTCCCCCAACAACCCCCAACTTCTCTTATCTACTTAGGTGTATTCCATAGTGCAGAGCAAACAATTTACCCCCCAAAACTTGAAGACACTTCTGGCAGAAATGAGAAGAGGGGCACCAGTATCTGCCTGAGGCTCATTTAGGGGTTGAGCTAGGAGCTAGAGATACAAGAGTATCCCACTGCTGCATCTGAATTTGGCATCAGACACAAAAAGCTTAATACATAGCCTTTCTCTGCAGGGCTTGGCCCACAGATAAAAGGTATTTCTTGTTGAAGATTAAGTGAGGTTGTTACAGATTTAGCTAATACTTAAGAGATACAGATTGATTGGCCATCAAGAGAAAATAGGGACTGAGTCCTAACCTGACTACTTGCTACTCTTAGGGAAACAATTATGAACTATGGTGCCATTACTGAAACAGTAGTAATAGTCCCTCCTGCCCAGCTCCCTTCACAGGTGTAACAAGTTTCAAATGACTTATCTGCAGTGAAGACTAGCTGTAAGCACTACATGGTGCGTATAGTAAGCACTAGACAGTAAGTCATATGTGTTCAAGTTTTAGAAAATACGCGCTTGAGGCTGTTCCCAATCAAGTCAAACAATGGTCTGGTGGAACTGATGGGCCATGTTAGGGCTGCTGGACCCCCACTGCCTTGACTAAGAAATAACATGCAGTTGACTCTTAAATACAGAGACTTGGGGAGCATGACTGGGCCAGTCCAAAATCCAAGCATGTAATTTATAGTCAATTTCTCTACTTTGTAGGGCTTGTGAGGCAAACTGCTCTGAGCCTGCTTCTAGAGCTTGCTCTGCTACTGATAAGCAGTGTGACTCCAGAGATGACACATCCCACTCTAAGCCTCAATTTCCTCATAAGCAATACAGGGGAAAAGCAATACAGGGTGGGTGAATACTGTGTTCTACCTACATCATAGGATACTGTGAATACTTAAACTAATGGATAGTTTTGTGGGGGTTTTTTTTGTATATGATTGTTTTAACTTTTAATGTTTCCTCAAATATCAATAACCCTTTGCTAATAAATTAAAATTCCTCCTAACTAGTTACCTATTTTAGGACTATTTATGACATATTTCAGCTACCTTGGCTACAGGCAATGTTTTACTCTCACTGGAACAAGGTACAACTAAGTCACCCTTTCAGTTATTATCACTTTCACTTTCTTTACATTTTCATTTCACCTCACAACTTGGAGGCAGAAAGCATAAAGAAATACTAGCCCAAAATGCAATGTGTGGTGGCTGCAGTGAAGATCATCCAAAAAGTTCACCACGTGCTATACTTTAAGAAATTTAAAGGTGAGAGGCTCTTAGATCACTCTTGACTATTAATCCCTTGCAACTTGGTGCATGTTTGTAGATCCCTCGCTGGCAGAGTCTCACAGAAGGCTGAGGGTCAGCTGCCATATTAGAGAGAGTCTACTGTGTTTTCCCCAGGCAAGTCCTACTTCACCTGAGGTAAACAGCCAGCAATGACCTTCCTCCACAGGGGAGTGGCACAGAAATGAAGGAAAGGCTCCCCTCACCTGTGACTGTGTCACCAAGAGACTTTTCTTCCTCCAGTGAAGGTAGCTACCTAGCTTCATATTTAGAAGCTAATTTGTGTCCTTTTGTTCCCTAACATACCCGGAAGTCTTGGGGACGATGTACCTGAGAGGCAGTAGGGAAGAAAGTGTTATGTTATCCCCGTATCAGACACAGCTACATTAAAGTAGGTTTCTGTTAGATTTCACTAGCACTCACAAAAACAGATGAATGACCCAAAAAGATAAATTTCAGGCTAGAAAACAGGAACTTTCCAAAGACAACGACCAGTATGTCCTACACTCTACACTTCAATCGGCCCCATTCTGACCACTAGCTTTCCACAGCAAGGATACCAGCAGAATTTGCTGCCTACAGGTTACCAAGTTGCTATGTCAAAAAGACAGTTATTTCTGAATCTAAACGTCTTAGTCATCGGAAAGAATTCAGAAAGCCATTACAGAAAACACACAAGCCCCGGAGTCCCAAGGCAGTTTCAAGTCTTAACTCTTAAAACTCAAACCTGACAAGAATTGTGACCTCATCTCTCTGCTCCTTCACCTGATAAAATACAAACTATGAACTAGGCTTGCACGATTTTGTAGGAATGTTTAAATAACATGTGAAAACTTACTATAAATATCTTCACTTAATGCTTTTCTGATGGCTATACTGACTAATAGAAGCAAAAATATCCCTAACTTCTGAAAAATACACTTTTCTTTAGAAGAACCCTTCCTATCCAGGAAAGTACTCCTCAACACATTTAATACGTCTTGGATTACCATAGGTTTTTACACCTCCAGAATCATGAAAGGCACATAAGTTTAACTGTAGACTGCTTCTGGTATTTAAATGAAATTTCATATTCTTTTTATCCTAAAAAGACTCTCTTGCTTTTCAGATTACATGAAAGAATCCGCGTGCAGTTCTAGCACTTGTTCCTTGAATAGCAGTGAAAACCCTTACGCCACAATTAAGGACCCTCCCATCCTCACCTGCAAGCTTCCAGAAAGCAGCTATGTAGAAATGAAGTCGCCTGTGCACAGGGGGTCTCCGTACACAGATGTGCCATCCTTGTCGACATCTAATAAAAATATATATGAAGTTGGTAGGTGTCTCAAATAAGTAACTTAGTGAAATCAGGGCATTAGTGCAGCATCTGACGTAAACACAAGCCTGCCCCACTCACCCTGTCTTGAAAACACACCTTTCTTTTGTTGCTTTAAGGAATGTTCAAGGTGAATTGTCTTTCCCAGAACTGCCCTTCTCTCTCATGCAGGAAATCAAATTCTTGTGCCAACTCTGCTTGAAAAAACAAACACATAACACACACACACACACACACGCGTGCGCGCGCGCACACACACGCACAAGAGTAGAATGAAGCAGAAATACAGGGGGTAAGACGTGGGTACAAACACATACGTACTTCCTGATTATTGATAAAAATTCCACTTTGAAAAACAATCAGAACAGATACTTGAAAATTTCTAAAACCCGTTTTACCTTCTCCCAGTTTACTGTTGCTGGGCTGTGATTAAACCCTTACCCCACAATATTCCATCTCTTGAGAAAGCCTCGGATGTATCCCTCATGTAGTTACAGATTTTTAAGTCCTTGGCTGCTCTCCCCAAGTTAAAGACACCCTGCCCCACCCCAGCAACCAAAGCTAATCTGTTCTCTGAACTCATTTTTCACTATATCCCTTAGAGCCCACAGTCAGTATGGTCCAAGAAGGCTGCGGCCGTAACTCCAGCTATATTCAGAATGCATACGATCTACCTAGGAACAGCCATATTCCTGGTCACTATGACCTCCTCCCATTAAGACAAAGCTCTGCCAATGAGCCCTCCCAGGACAAGCAGTCTTAGCAGAATAAGCTTCTCTCTCACAATGTGCTCCGCTGAATATTCTGACTCTGAAAGAAGACAATCCCTTGACGTGAAATCTTGGTACAGACTGACTACAGCTGCGTGTTAGTTATGACGTTCACCTGGAACTAAAGAAGCGCTTCCAAGTGAGACTGGGGTAATTGTTCAAGAGTCTGTGCACAAAACCGAATCCTGCCATCAACATCCCCAAAGCCCCAAATGCCCCAATTACATTTTTAAAAAATATTTAAGGTACAGCTACTCATCAACATCAGCTAAATATAGTTAGGTATATATTTATATATTTAATTATCTGAAACTTGATGCCTAGAAAGCATGTAGAATAGGTTTTACAGAGGGTGGGAGAGGGGTGGGGAGGGGGGGAAGAGTACTATAAAGCACCTGAAATGTATATGTACTTTTGTTTGCTGTTATCATGAACATCTGTTTTACTACCCAAGATAATTACTAAACAGAAAAACTTGGTTAATATCAATCCTAAAGTACCTGTACATATGTCTGCTCCATCAAACTACATCAGTCAAGATTTCACAATTTAGATCGTCTAATGCCAACAAACTTCGATGTTTTAAAATAAGACTAATAAATAAAAAATAACCTTACCTCTTTTGCCCTGTACATGGAAGTAGGGCAAAAAAAAAAAAAAAGTTTAAGTTTCCAAATTCAGTTTACTACAGTGATTTCTAAGCCAACTGTATCAAATCTTGCCAATTCAAAATTCAGAACATTAAAAGTATAATCCTGGCCTTATCTCCTTAGTTCAACCAATACTATGTGAAATAGAACTCTGAAATGATGCTTCAAACAATTATAGACTAGTAAGAATTAAGTAGTCCTAAAAATGGCTATTTGGCTTCCTGATTTTGTTTGGCATTACTTGACTCAGAATACTTGCTTTTAATCATTTCTTCATAATTCTTGAGCCTGATGTAATATGGAACCTAAAAGCATAGAGGAAATTAGACAAAAGTGGTGTAGCAAGTTAGTTACTTAATGCACATTATCCTCTTTGAAACAACTAAGTGAGATGGTTAAAGAAAAAATGGACTGTAATCAGTTGCTATAACGTGATGTAAAAAAAAAATTATATTAAAACTACTACCCTAATGAGGGCCTAAAAAAGGTAAAACAATGAGATAATGCTCTAGTTCCCAGTATTCAGATGTCTATACCTTCCAAAACTGGAAGGTGAGTCATACTCCCAAATCCTAAAAGAGATTGCCTTAACGATAAAAGACCTAAGGCAAACCAAGGAAAGGAATAGTCACTCCTTTAACACTTCATTCTGTTACTATAAAAAATATTTTTTAAGAGGAATACAGAAGAGGAACTAAATGACTGCAAAGCTGGAATAGCTGCTACATGAAATGTGAGGTTCTGAAGCCTTTGATACAAATTAGAACTCTACCTTGAAACTTATTAATTTGGACAATGGCAAATGCTAGAAAAGAAATGAGTAAATCCTTCTTTCCACTGCACTCAAGGCTTAAGCAAATTTCATTTTAGAGAAAAATATATAAACTTACATGAATGCTGCATGTGTGCATGGGAGCCAGTGATCAGCAATAGCAAATGTAATTTACTTTCCAAAAAGCCTTATTAAAATATAAACACTAGACAGTTACTGTGTAGGCCCAAGTAAATATTTCTCATACATATGTAGTAAGAAATATAGATAAGAGACTTACCTCAGTTTTCAGAGCAGGAAGTACTATTCAAATATCTTTGTGAAGCAAGGATTAAGAAGCATGGTGAAGTCAGATCAACAAGAAGAAACTTCATCTCAACCCCAGGTTTTATCTTCCTCCCCTACCCTGCATGCACAATAATCACTGCCTGGCAAACTGCAAACAAGCAGTATCACTCAAGTTTCACCTCTTTTGTCAATTATCTTCTGGGCAAGAGGTGATATAGTGGAATTGCTAAGCACTGGGACAAAAGATTGGAGCGTTACTTGTCCTCTCTGGGCTCATTTTACCCCCAATGTATGGGACAGAACAGAAGCAGGGTAGGGGCGCTGTACCAAGCCCTTCCTCTAGCATTCTAGGAAAAGGGAAAGGCAGAGGGTGTGATTAACCTATGGTGACCACAGCTGCCTTCACATATCTAACAGTTAATAAAAGACTTTTCGATCTTATAGAGCAACTGTTAGAAATTTCTGCCCAGCACAGTCACACATAGGTTCATGGTCAACCTAAATATGTGTACTGTATATCTTATTGATTGGCAACTGGAAAAATCTGTTCCATATTACAGAAAGTAAATTTTCAAGTAAACTGATATGCGTATGACTCAATAAAGAAAACTCATTATTGTACAGTGGCATAAATGAGACTATGAAATGGCAATACTTTTTTAAGCAACCCAGATTTGTAATATATTTGTTCACTGTGCAGAGGGATCAGACCTTGTACAAAAATAAAATGATTTTTCTCTAACTTAAATGAGAATGCCCAATTTTGTGTTACAAACTGAAAACATGTCCATAATTATACACCTTAGGTTTAGAGGTAAAACTTCCTACATTTTGTATGGTCATTTTATACAGAAAAATGCAAATTATCTGAATAGTTGTTTGAAAATCAAATGAAAAAAGCATATCAAATTTAAAACAAGGAACTCTCTTCCCTTGTTTTGAGTAATGAATGGTAGGCAACACATTCTTAATGTCCAAAAAATTATTGAAGACTCGCTTATAGACAGTATATTCAAAATAAAGAATTCAATACTTGTCTTTGAGTCCAAATCTTAGATTTGGACTCAAAGACAACTGTTACAGCTTGCGCACAGTTCCAGAGACATAAAGGTACTTCCATGGACTGGAATAAAAACAAGTAGAAGGCGTACCTAACCTCATAAACACAATGCATATCTTTACACCAGTAGAAGTTATCACCCATTATGATATTCAGATGCATCTGTTTTAGGATGTTTAAAACATGACATTGTAAACCTCACTGGTAAAGTGGAAGGATTAATTTTATAATAAATTATAAAAAATTTATAATGCAAATATATCATGAGTACACTCAAATGATAAAAGTTTAAAATTTGTCCATATTTAAAAGGTTTCTACCAAATTCTCATTTTTAAGTAAAATTAAATATGCTTTCACAACTTGTGAGTTCACAAGGCTTACATAAAATAACTCAGAATATGACTCATTCAGAAAACATCTTACAGACAATTGTCAAGGGTCTGGGCTTGACAGTATGTTCAAGATAAAACAATCAAAAGCTATGTGACTGAAAAGGTTATTTACTGAGAGTAGCAATGTAAGGTTATGATTTATGAAGCCCAGAGTACTAGCCAGTAAGACGAATGATAACCAAAGGCTGCAGGCTGTTGTACACTCAGTGGTTGTGGGTTGTACACTCGTTACAAAAGAATCAAGAATAATACACCCTATTAGTCATTCATCTAACAGTGAACACAGAAGAGGCCAGTTATTCAGTATGTGACAGCAAAAGGAGATGGGAAATCTTTCTCAGAAGGGGTGGAAGGAACATATACTATTATTTAGTCTATCATTATACTATTTAGTATAATATACTATTAGTATAAATATACCTGTAAGTATATTTTTTCACCTTTTAAAAATTTTCAACCTGAATGGCCAGACCAGTTCCCTCAAATAATCAAAGGGAACCTCTAGTTCCCTTACACTTTTAAATGGCCTTTCCTTTTATTTTTCTGACATGAGGAACTGTTAATTATTTCTAGGTGGGTAGTATAAGAAGGTAAACATGAACAGAACACATTTCCCTAACCTTGTGATTTTTATAATGCAGCAATTACAAAGGGCAGAGATAGAGAGCCAGGGTGACTATTAGGGTTTTAATGATTACACATGTTTTTCCCCAACATGCAGAGCTAGAAAGACTGAACAGTGATCTAATCCAAATCCACAAAAGACAGCAGCTCGTCTATATAGCTACAAGTGTCAGCTTCCTTCCTCATTCCAGGTTGTTTCCCAACCCATTTTTAGTTCACCAGAGCCATGGGTAAGGCTATGAGAAACCATGAGGACCAGAAACTTTATAAACCAAAACTGAGAATCCCTAACATCCTCCTCCAGAGTTAGTTTCACATCAAAGATAAACCACAGAAAGAGTGCCACTTGCTTCCTAGAGCTTCCCCGATTGTCACATTTCAGTTTAGACCTTCTACAATATCCTTAAGTTCATAAAACAAGAACTTTGCCACAGAGACTAGTACAACAGTCACACTTCTTGAACTTAAGACTGTGACCCAGGCCACTTAGCCACAGACATTAAGAAAATGGAATGCCGAGAAACCAGAGGCTACCGATAGGAAAATGGCTGCAAAAAGCAGGATACTTGTAACTCATTGGGAAGGGGGGAAGGGGCCTGAAATTATGTGATTTGGGGCAAGGTTAAATTCCAAAGAGATAGACAAAGGAATGAAACTGCTGGCTACTAATTTTCACTAATATTGCTGGTACTGATAACAGTTACATTAACAGTTGTTAACAGTGAATATAGATGACATCTGTACACAGAACTATCAATTCCATGCTTCAAGTTAAATAATTCAAATAATGTATAAACTACTAATAACTAGACTACTAGACCAGCAGCCAAATACCATTTATGTCTGTATAAAACTATACAGTTGGATTTAATCATGAAGTCTCTGGATAGCTAGCTCTGGATTGTTCCACCTTCTTTTAAATTCCTATTGAACATAATTCTTCAAAAATTAAACACAAAAATGTCTTTCAAAGTGCTCTCTCCCAGACAAATATATTTTTAAGTGTATATTCAAAGCCAGAAGTTTTTTCAATAGTAAAAGAAAAAACAATGTACAATTGACAGAACCACCCAACAAGCCCCCAAGCACATATGGTACACTTTGATCATGTGACTGAAACTGACAGTCTTTTTACAAATATTCTGAAAGCTTTCTTCTTTTCTAATGTAATTAACATGAAAACAAAGATAGCAGTTTAATCAAATTATAAAGACCAAAAACATTTATGTATCAAATTTAAATTTCAATTAGACTATATAATGATTTGTCTTTGGTACCTGAAAAGAATTCATTTACAGAATTACTGAATTTGAGCTGGGATGAAACCCCAGAAATTATCTAACCCAGTCCCCCATTAGCTGGAAGAGTATGAGATAAAAGGACCAGACTAGCTATGACTAAAACTCCAGTCAAGTGCTCTATATTACCTACCACTTTCAATCTTTTAACTCACAAAGCTTAGCATATTTTTTAATATAGTCCATATATGCAATGTCTTTTCAAATAGTCTTCATCCTTCCTTTAATATTCAAGAAAGTATTTTAATTAACTTTATGTCTCAATCTAATGGTTTTCTCTCCATAAACTAATGACCTTAGTTAGCATTTTGTGTAATTTGTTAATAGCCTCCTACATTTTGGAGGGGAAGTATAACCATTCTTTAAAACATCAGAATGACAATCCCAATTTATTTTCAATATAGTATAGGCAAGTAGAAAAGGTGGCCTGTCAAATCCCAGAAACGAGTGTGGTACCAGCACTGCCACAAGCAAGAAAACAAAAATCCACTTTCTTCTCTTTAGCACTAACCCACTAAATGATGTAACAGAATATTCTCCTTTCATATTTTTTCCTCCACACAGTATCATGTACTTGCACTTACATAAAACTGTATTTTTTTAAACATTTTCAAGCTTATGATATTTGTGACACATCAAACAGCCAAAGTCTACTCGTCTCTTCTGTTCAAAATATACCTATAAATCAAAACCTAAGAGGTTGAAATTAAATTCTCAACTTTCCACCCAGTCTGAATTATTCTGCTCCTAATTTTGCCCAAAATTGTCAACAGCTTTTTCTCTTTAAGGTAAAAAGAAATTATCACATAGGTCACTCCAATGAGTGATTTGTAAATACAAATCACTGCAAACAGTAAGATGTTCACTTTCCCGGGGTTAAATAAGTGATTAGCTCTGAAATGGCAATCCGAACTTTATAAAGTCCAACTTTTTTGCAAAACTATGAAGAATTTAAATGACTAGCTAGCACTTCTTTTAAGAATTCATCCTACTCAATGCAGTGGCAAAACATAATTTACCTTTCAGAATAATGAGAGAAAAAGAACATAAGAATAGTGATGTACAAACTGAAATCAAATTGAGATGGCTAAACTCTCAGAATACAAAAGTTTAAAATTTCATTGCTAAATAACTAAAAGACCAAGCAGCAATACACTTTTAAAGTGCCGTGGGCCCTATATTATATTTAAAAAATTAATATTTATTTCAGTTTATTTCATTAAGATACTATTCAGAATGAATAAACTTGTTGAAATGCAAAGTCATTTTCTACTACTGCTACTTAAGGTTCTCAGAATTCTTTCAAGATCCAACAATGTTCAAGGCAACATTAAGTCTGCATGTGGCCAAAAAAAAAAAATCAAAACTATTTACTTTCAATTTACTGCCTAGTTTCTCCTTTATTAATTCTGTAAAAAAAATTCATTGCTAATTTTGGGTAAAATGGTGATAGAACTGGTTGGGTCTGATGACAAAAGAATACTTTCCTGATATTTTTGGTAATACTTTTTCCAAGCAAAAAATAATTGAAGTACGTATCTAAAATCAAAGCTAAATTCACACAGTAATACATCCAATTCAATGTTTACTCTGTAATGCAAGGAACCTATGCTATTACTAAGCAGATCCAATATTGCACGACTACATCCAAAACACTCAGGAAAAATGTAATGTGACAACATAAAGAACAGTCCCCCCATAACTGTTTATTAGAATGTGAACATATTCCAAATCAGTAACTAAAAAAAAAGAAAAAAAATCAAGTTACAGAGCATGCTTTTTAAAATACAAAGTAGCAATTTACAAACAGATAATAGTAGCTTTATAACCAATACACTAAAATAAAATGGCTACAGAAGAAAACTAAAATGACTGACCACAGCAATGCCTTCCGTGTGCCCCACACGTCATGAGCACCGCAAGAAAAAATATTAACTATGAAACATAGTAATCTATGCAAGCCCACACACATATTTTTGTGATATATCACCATCCTGAATAGTATCACTTCAGTTAACACAACTTTCAGAACACTGCAGAATTTAGTGCTTAATATTATCCACAAGAAAGTAAAACAAAATATTAGTGTGCACATTTCTGAATGAGAAACTAGTTGCTCCATTGATTTCAATAATGTAGTGGAAGAAAATTATCTGAGGTTTGTACAATGCCTAAATACATTCTATTTAAACTCAAGGTACTATTTCATCTTACATACTAAAAGAATACATGCCATTAAGTGGTAATACTTGAGCAGAAATTAACCTCTTACTGTATTCTTTAGACATACTGAAATCAGATATTTAACCTGACTATATTCCTTAATATAACTGCAAAACTCAAAAATCAGCTTTGTTAAAATATTATCCATGCTTGCTGGTGGATATGATAATAAAACTAAGTTGCATTTCACTTACTGGGAGGTTTTTAAAACAAAATTAACTCTGATACGACGAGCATTGAATCAGTTATTGCCAGGGCAATGAAATGCCACCTAATCTACTGCTGGGAAATCAGCTGAACAGTCTGGGTTGCCTAACTGCTGCCAGAGGCGCCCCAGGTGGGCTCCACCGGTCTCAGCAATTCCCGCCTGCCAGGCAGCATTATGTACCACATGGCCCCATAACCGTAGAGCTACTGCAACCACGACAGTCTTTTTGTGTTGGTAATTCTTGTCCAGAAAAGTGCCCCCTTCACTAATCAACTTTGATGCTTACAAAAATTAAAAAACAAAATTTATTAAGCTACATAACCCTATTAAGGCATTTTAGAAATCGACTTCCAGAATGGAAAATTTTCAAGCTCTCAAAATCGTTCTATGATTACAGGGCAATTCCTAGATCTGTGAAAATATACACTGCACTGAGAGAAGAGTGTATTAATTATAAGTTGCTCTGTGGCAAAATGATAGCTTATTTCTAAAGTCTTAGTTTGATTTGATCAAGACCTAGGTCTGAGCTTCAAGTGATCAAGTTCTACAGTGACAGGCTTCCATGATGAAAAGTAAACAATAACTGGGAATCCAAACATTCAGTTTATTAAACTAAGGCTAGTGAAGCCATCGCATGAAAAAAAGCTGCAGTCATTCGGGACAAGTGGATGATTTTATAAAGCAAAATCAAAGACTTAAGACATGGGAAAAAATCATTAAGTATGAGGAAGTAATAAAACACAAAAGTGACCACAAGAATTACAAATATATTTAAATCTCAGACCTGGGAAATGGACTATACACAGCCTTCTAGGGGAGAAGACAAACGCCTTATATGTTCTGACAGCACTGCACCTTTGGCTTGTTTTCAGTGGTTGGTGGAACATGAATAGGAACCACATTGTTGCTTGGAGACATGTCATTTTCACGTCTGTCTGACATTTGCTTCTGGGAAACAATGCGGTATATCTCTGAGTAAAAAGAAGAAGCAGCATATTCAGTATGAAAAGCCCCATCAATAGAAAAGATACACAGAAGTAGGTAAGATTTGCAAGAAGAACTACAAATCAGACAATGCATAAAGTTTTATATTCAAACAGCAGTTGATTGGACTCAACTTATTATAGCAATTTTCTTTAGGATAAGAGAAATAGAAGTGTTCCATTTCACAGGGTAAAATTCAACCAACTAGTTAAATAAATCTTGGTTTAAACAGATTACACAGTTTGTAGGCTTAGATCTAAATTAAACTGAGTATTTGCAGCTGGCTGTTATCAAAGGAAAAAACCTATATATTGACATTGTACCACAAAAATAATAAACAAAATAAAACTGCACTATTAGATACAGCAGGTATTTTTCTTTGTGGCATAGGGAAGAACTTCACAGCATTCCAAAAGATTCTTGGAAGAGGCAAAGAGTATGTTCACTAGGACCTCTTGAATTATAATGCAATAATTATTCGAAACAGGAAACTAAGATTTCATGACATGTAACCTAATTGTTTTTCTGTCTACCTCCCTCCATATACATTAAACTTTATAAGAACAAATATTGCAACTCCATCATAAAACAGAAGAGTTTAATAAGTAATCAACTGGATGAATGTTATTAACTTCCTCTACTGCAACTATCTTTTTTACATTGCCTTGCCCAAAGTACTTCCATCTCCACAGAGAATGCATATTATTTCAGTTCTCCCAGTGCTCCCCCAAATAAAATGCAACTCAAAAGGTAAGGGACAAATTGTCATGACGTACCTCTTATTGTAATGTACTTTGAAGGACACAAACGCATTCTTATGAAAGACACTTACGTATCTCTCCCTAAAATTGTTTAAAATGAATTTATCGTGAGGAAAGACAAATCCAGAGGAGGAACATACTTTAAGATAACTGTACAAGACTTTTCAAAGAAGGTGTCATACATTTAAAAAAATGGAGATAATTTTCCTATATCTGATTTGTCTGAAGGCAGTAAACATTTATTTAAATTAAATATTCAAAGTCCCAACTCACTTCATTTGCAGCATTCCAAGTGCCAGTAAGAAGTTGTGTCAAGTGACCTCTATTTGAAACAGTGTCAGATAAAAAACAATTCCATCAATATTATGTATGATCCTTTACCAGATCCTATGTTTAAAAACTAAGTCTTTAAAGGGCACAATTGGAATATGAACTACAATCCCTGCAATTTATTTTGCAAAAATTGAGGAAAAAGGAGGGGGGAGTATACATACATATACACACCCGCAATATGGCAGAATGTTAGTGACTGATGTATCAAGAAGGGTAGATGGGTATTTACTGTATTCTTTCTGTAATATTTGAAAATTTAAAGACTGTCACATTATGTACTCAAAATGAAAAATTAGAATAATACTTCCAAAATGCTCCAAGAATATAATAACTAACTGCAATGTATGGCCATCATTCTGGATTCTAATTTGAACTATGAAAACTGATTTAAGACAAGAAGCTTGGGTAATAAATGTTAATAAAGTATAGATGCCAATTTTTATGTGTTTTTGTTGTTATGGGTTTAAGTCCTATTATTTTAGTTACACATCATGAAATGCTTATAAATGAAAAGCTGTAATACTTGGGATTTGCTTCAAAATCATGAGGGAGGAAGCAGGTAAAAGAAAGACTGGCTATGAACTGTGGGTTGCTGATATAGCTACATGAGAATTTGATACAATATACTTTGGGTGTGTTGAAAACTTGGTAACAAAAAGTTAAAGGAAAAAAATGAATTAATCAAATACATATCTGAGAAATGAGTTTTTAATTTGGAGGGTTGGAGGTTGAAGAAAAAATTAAAATACAATAAAGAATGCTAGGTTACCAATTAGCTTTAACAGATACGACAGGGATAAGAATTCATTTAGATTCTTTTCACTGAAAAGGGAGGTGACTGGAATGTATCAAAGGTACAGAGGAAAAAAGTCATTCAATCAAGATCGTGGCTAAGAAATAAAAATAATCAATTTACAGTAAAACTATGCCATTTATTCTTTGTTCTTTGTTTTCTCTCCAATCCCAAATTGGCTAGCTCTTCTTTTTCAGGTGCAAAAGATTAAGGGACTCTACAAATTGTTTTGGAAGATAAGTTAGGAGAATCAAAACAAAAAATGTATTTTACAGGTTCTTAAATGAAAAGCAAATACTGGAAGATGGAAAGGCAGAGTTATCAGAAAACACAAAGGTAAATAAAGAGATCTCATTACAAAGCAAGAAATCTGAGCTGTGTTGTGTAACTGCAAGTTCTGCATACTGTTTAGTAGGAATGGATAACTGCTATATTTGCTCCACACTCCAAAAAACATGTCCACTAATAAAAATGCCAACAGTGCAATAAACCAAAGAAAATGGTCAAAAAATTAGAATTTTTTTCTTTCAGAGAATGATCCCTACGAGACTCCACAAACAATTTAAAGTCTCTAGTGACTAGATGTGTCACACACACACACACACACACACACACACACACACACCAAAACTTTGATAAGAAAATCGGAAGCAGGTAACTTGTAGCTGGCATCTGATTAAATGATATTTAAGTGGGGGGTGTGGGTGAGAGAGGAATGAGGACTAGTAATCTACTAAATGAGATGCAAATACTTTCCCAAATGTATAGTGATAAACCAAGTCCTATGCAGGCCCTTCAAGTTGTCCAAACAGAGGAGATTAGAAAGATGAATGCAAATGCACAATGTGATCCCTGGCTTGCTTTTGCTAATACACTAAGTGGAACAACTGAAACTCTGAATATCACCTGTAGCTATTAACCACTGATGTAATACTATTATCTAACTGATATTGTACTATGACTGAAATATTTTTGTTTTCAGAAAATGCTTAAATACACTAAGTGGAACAACTGAAGCTCTGAATATTACCTGTAGCTATTAATCACTGGTGTAATAATATTATCTAACTGATATTGTACTATGACTGAAATATTTTTGTTTTCAGGAAATGCTTAAAACCACTCAGGTTTAAGGGGCAACATGTCTTACTGTCAAGTGGTCTAGAATAAAATGTATATATACTTCAGGGGGAAAAAAAGCAGATGTAGTAAAATATCAACATTTGAAGAATAAGAGTGAAGGGTATTTGCAAATTTTTTCTACTATTACTGCAAATTTAAGTCTGAAATTGACAAAATCCAAAGTTAAAAGAAAAAAAGTAAGAGTATGAAAGTATAACAACATCCCTTAATCAAACTGAGGATGAAGAAAAGGCTGCACTGAAATTCAAGAGACTGGGCAGTCTAGAGATTCACTCACCCATGACTTAGCTGACAACCTCTAAAACATGCCATCAACAAAATTATGTCATGGAGTTACTATCAAGTTCATAGATATCAAGAATGCCATGGGTCTACTCTGAACAACATACACAGTCAACTTTGGAGTAAGGCAGGCAATTTTCTAACACATAAATTTGTGCTTTGAAATTAAAAAGCTATTTATTTTTTTCAGTAACACCAAAATACAGTGTAAATGTTCCCTTTACACAGCTAACACTAAAGGCAGAATTAAGCCTAACAAAGTTACAGTTCTCTTTCCTAGTTCTTCTGTGCATTAATATTTCCACTGTAATATAGAAAACAACAAACTTGCATGACAATACAGTCTAGTGTCACATGCAGTGATCTCTGATCCCATAGATGGGCAGTGAGATTTATACAGAAAGCTGAGGAAATAGTGAATAGAGAGAAAAACGGTACTAAATAAAGCTAACATCTGTTGTTAACAAACCAAATTAAATTAAGCAATAAACAAAAGTTCAATCTATAATGAATTTTAACAGAGTGTTCTTCACCCTTAAGGGCAAAGTAGTTTCAATATTAAGGTTCAGTGTGTGTACACAAACATCATTGCTTGTTGATTAGTTCATGTCTGAGTAGACCATTAAGTTCAATATCACAAAAAGATGCAAAAGTTAACTATACATGAAGAAAAGATTTTACCTCATTTTCATTTAACATCAAAGTAAATGGGCTAGAAGAGAGCAGTATGGGCTAAAATTATAGCAGAAAGATTTTAAAAAATTTTAACAAGGATCGACTAAAGTTTTTTTCAAGTCAGATACTTAAAAGGTGTTAAAGAGACCTTCAAGGTTACTTTAACTCATTCATTTTAAGACATTATGAATCTGAAGACCGGGTAAATTTAATAACTTTAGTTATAATGAGAATAGGAACAAAATAGAAAAAAAATCTGCAACTCCTAGGTCTAAATTTAATACTCTCCATATTGATTTACTGTAAACTACCTAAGTGGGTTACAGAGGAAAAAAGCAGGAGACACAAACATTGCATATTTAATCAAATATTGTTTGCTTGAAATAATCTACAATGAAACTTGACACAGAAGATTTTAAATAGCATATATTAAAGACTATTCAACCTAAAAGATACTTTTGGTTACTCTAACAGAAAATTCTAATAAGTATGTTAACCACCAATATTTAGTTCATTTTTAATTAAATGGCTTAACTGCTATTAGTAACTAAGGCCTTAAATTGCTATTATTTACTGACTTATCAAATAATCACTATGTACTAAAAGCAGTTAAGTATTTTACATGTATGAAACCACTCATTCATTTTTTTGAAACCCCAAGTTTAACTATGACAGATAATTTTTTCTGTTCATTATAGACAAAAATTTGTAAGTCACAAACTATAAGTCACAAGACTTTTATAAGTCAAGTCAAAAAGCATCAGAAGTAAAAATAAAAACAAATCTCAAGTATGTATAAAATCAAACCCTATCTGAAAAAGAAAACAACAGAACTCTACACAAAGCCTAGTAAGTTAAGTAACTTACCTGAAGAAAGTAAGGCCTAGAAAGTAACTTGCCCAGATTACAGAGCTAATAATAAATGGAAGGATCAAGATGAGAACCAAAGTCAGGCAGGTTTCCACGTTCATGCTCTTAAATTCTAAGTTTTATATTCTATATATGTTTTAAAGATTTATTTATTTATGCACACAAAACTGGCATAAGTCCAGAGGTACAGAGGTGGTGAGAGGATTCACCAGAGACAGAGTGGGGAGCAGAACAGGCAGATCAACAAAGTACACTGCTGAGAGGGGAAGCGGGCAGCGGGCGAGACAGAAGAGGTCTGCCACACATGTGGGTCACCTCTAGGGCAGGGGATCAACTTGTACTGAAGCAGCTGCAGCTAGCGCAGGGCTGCGCCCTAATCGGTTGTGCCCTAAGGAGGGCCATCTAACATTTTTATAGTGAAATTAAGACAACACTCAAAAGTTAAAATGTATCCTCTAATAAAAATGTTACATACAAAATATAAAAATCTTGTTATATTACAGTGACACCTATTTAATCATTTCTCCACATAAATGCTTTAGACCACTATGTAAGACTGTAGTATGTATTAAAACTAAGCTTTAAATCGTAAGTTCTTAAATGTAGCATAAAATTTTAAATTAGTTAAAAAACCCACCAAAGTACTTATTAGTGGATCGAGATTAAACTTGAGAAGTTCTAACATCTAATTCTAATAATGCGTCAGGGTAAATATGAGTTAACACAAAATGTCTTATCCTTGAGGTTGACTTAGATCTGCAAATCCACATTCTAAAACAGCACGAACTTTTTTCCTTTCCCACTGCTTATTTAAACTCTCTACAAGCATCACTGGCCTGTTTCCCCCTTGCTGCTGCTTCTATATAGTATGGCAGAATTTTACCTTTTTTTATTTAAAGAGTACATTTTTTTTTTCATTTAAAATATATTCCTCCCTACTGTTTCTCCAAACATAACAAACAAGAATGCCTTTTCTTTACTGATTTTCAAAAGGGCATTTATGTCTTTCCATAACCAGGACTTCAAAATGTATTAAAGTACACTTAAGCATTACTTTGTGCTTGTAACCATGACGTGTACAATACATGGACTGAGGCAATAAAAATAGATAAGTTTTAAATATTTTTCCCCACTATAAACTGAAGATTTAAAATGACTAAAGCTTAGCAAGCAAGGACTATAACCAATTTTCTACTCTAAACAGCTTTTACTATAGTAGCTCTCAAATAATACTTGTTCTCAGAGTTTTGGAGTTGTTTAGTTTCCAGATTAAACAAACTAACTTCCTAGGACTTCCAATTCTCACAATTTTAATCTGAAAATGCAAGTCTCACCTGTCAGAATTGTCTGAAAAGCAGCTTCTACATTTGTAGAGTCTAGAGCCGACGTCTCAATGAAAGACAAACCATTCTTTTCTGTGGAAAACAAAAAACTTCAGTCTTGTCAAATTTTAACACAAAGGACGTGATTCACTCACGTCTTCAAAAGAAAATTAACAGAACCTTCTAAAACCTAAGATTTCTCCCCAACTTCTTAACTAGGTAACTAATTGTTATCATTCTAGTAACACTTTAGCAAGTTAGCATTTAGTGAGAAATTTTCATTGGCTTCTTAATTAAAATACTCATTACATCTGGCAAACACTATTCAAAATGTAGTAAAATTACCAAGTATCCAGCTACTTCCATCCCTACTTTCCTCTCCATCTACCATATAACTATAGGATGAACACAGAATACCATAATTTTATAATTTTATTTTAAAAACTGTTATGGAAAATTTTATACACAACATAATCACTAGTGAAAAGTCAAAACCTTACTAGCAAAATGTGCCTTATAGTAGAATCTCCCTCCCAGAATGGAGGGGCAAGAGCTAGGCAGATCCTCTATATAGTCAAAAGATGTCTAGCTCCTAAGCAGCTACTTCTCTGATGGTCCTTTATACTCCTGGGCCACTATTCTTCAGTCCCCCATAGAGCAGCTTTGGTAAAAGGAGACATAATGGAAAAAGAGACGAAGCACAAAACTAACTGATACATTTCATCTACACCCCCTTTCCAAGGAGAGAAAAGATGGTATTTTATTCAATTTTGACAAAATGCTAGTGTTTTATGACTCCCAAGCTAATAAGCAAAAGAATGATATTGCCCATCACAAACTTTTAAAACTACCCTTGCTGAGCATTCATGCTTACCTTTCTGAAACTTATAACCAATTACCCTCACTGGGAAGACATCAAAACAGCAAGATATAACAATAAGAAACAGAACCATAGCAGTATCATGGAATTTGTATCACTAACCTGCAAATGCTCTTGCTTCATCTGTAGGAACTGCCCTGAGATGACGCAAATCACTCTTGTTTCCCACAAGCATGATAACAATGTTACTATCAGCATGATCTCTCAGCTCTTTCAGCCATCGCTCTACATTTTCATACGTAAGATGTTTAGCAATGTCATAAACCAATAAGGCACCTACAGCTCCACGATAGTAGCTGAGTAAAGAAATATATTTAACTATTAGAAAACCACAGATGGACATGAGCACCAAGAACTAAATATTTGGGGTTTACACACACACACACATTTTTTAAAGCACACTTATAAATTTATAAACCCTAATCCTGGAATTCTTACATGGAATCAATGTTCCAGTGGCAAAAACCTGCTAATTCACTTGATAGCAATCTCTTTCACAGAACTTAAAAACTATACTCACGCTGATGTTATAGCTCGGTATCGCTCTTGTCCTGCCGTATCCCAAATCTGTGCCTTTATTGTTTTACCATCAACCTGGATACTTCTAGTTGCAAATTCTACTCCAATGGTGCTCTTGCTTTCAAGATTAAACTCATTTCGGGTAAATCGAGACAGGAGATTACTCTTTCCAACACCAGAATCTCCAATAAGGACAACTGTAATGTAAAGACAAAGAACTTAATGTCAGATGAATGAAGCAGACAAATTCAGAATTATCATCATGCTTTTAAAGCAAAACAAACCAGACCTTTTTTAAAAAGGGCTGGGAAGGCCTTCCCTGGTGGCGCAGCGGGTTAAAGCACAGCACTGAGAATCTAGAGCCACTTCCGCATGAGTTCGATTCCCACCTGCCCCGGATGTGACCACATGGCGTGGCAGACCTCTCCTGACCCGCCCGCTGCTCCCCTCAGCAGTGTACTTCGTCGATCTGCCTGTTCTGTTCCCCGCTCTGTCTCTGGTGAAGCCTCTCACCGCCCCTGGGCCTCTGGCCTGTACCCCAGTTCTGTATGCACAAATAATCTTTAAAAAAAAGGGGGGGGCTGGGATATAGAAGAGTAATTTCTTGACCTGTTACCAATCAAAATCACCAATAGAAATCACCAATAGATTGTAACCAATATACTCTCTGGTTTTAAATGTGCAAACTTAACCCTATTTAATCTGGTAGATCCACTAGGCACTGATGACAGCAAATACACTAATTACTATCAATGCTACACCAATCTTAGTATTTTAGAAAGTAGTAATATAAAAGATAAACCCTAAACCAAATGAACAATATGCAATATTAAATGTTTAACAGGGCCTCTCTGGTGGTGCAAGGGGTTAAACTGCAGCATAATCAAGCTATCAGAGGCTCTGCAGCATAAGTTTGATCCCTGGCCAGGGGGCTGACCTACACGGCACAGCAGACCTCTCCTGCCTTACCCGCTACTCCTCAGAAGCTATTTCAGTATATCTGCCTGTTTTTTTTTTTTTAAAGATTTTATTTACTTATACATACAAAATTGGTATACAGGCCAGAGGTATAAAGGCAATAAGAGGATTCACCAGAGACAGAGTGGGAAGCAGAACAGGCAGATCCATGAAGTACACTGTTGAAGGAAGCAGCAGACAAGACAGGAGGAACACCATGTGGGTCACCTCCCTGATTGGGGATGGAACATGAGCTGAAGCAGCTGTGGCTAGCATTGCAGTGCTGTGCTTTAACCTGTTGTGCCACCAGGGAGAGCCCCATCTGCCTGTTCTGTTCCCCACTCTATCTGGTGAATGCTCTTATTACCCCTGCACCCGTACTCCAGTTCTTGTATGCATAAATAAATCTTTTTTTAAAAATGTGTCAAGACATAAAAACAATAAAGCATGTCAGTGGGTATTAGGAAAGAAAAAACAAGTTCTACCTAGTTTCATCAAAGACTAGGTGTAACCTCAGTACTCAAACCTAGTTAGAATGAAACACTTAACATGAAGCATTAGGTTTATAAACTCTGCCACCCAGATCACAGAAACTCTAATCCTTTTGTATTTATCAGATTGGCAGAAAGCTAGAGAACCATCCATGACTCAATTCTGACTTATTGTGAGTCAAGGCCAAAAAGCAAAGGAGGGCATACACTTTCACTTAACAGCTTCATGATTTTTCTCCCTAAAACAAGGTTTAATAAATTTATTTCCTATGATTAATATAAGAGGCAGTTGTTTGTTTTAACTAAGTATGTGGAGATTCTTTTTTCACCCAAGGCAATATTAAGAATTTCAAAAATAGTAGGTAAATAGTTAAAGCATTTCTATCTGAACTTAGAGAGCTAGATAACATTTTTTCTTCTTGAAAAACTTTATTTGGTTACTTCTGAAAATATTATACTTACTCGTAGTGTTAACTACTAATACTTTCCCTAACTTTTTACTAGCTGAAAGATTTAAACACCTGATAAAAAGGCAAACAGGCACAAACAATACCAAAAAGAAAGACCAGGCCTTATACAGTATGGGATTTGATGGTGGGGGTGGAGTGGGAGGTAATAACTAAGAGAGCGCATTGCACTCTGGTCAGAGGGCAAAGAAAGTCCATTATGCATTCTTTCCTTGCCACAAGAGCGAATATAAGCTGGCTTCTGCACAGGCTTGCAAGGAGTACATTATAAAATGCGTATCTTTCTGGTTTCTTCTATCAGTTGATTCAGCAAGAACTTGTCCAGGAGGTAGCAACTCCATGCAGCAAAAGAATTATTTTTAATTATAAAGTCATTTAGAGAGAGGGGCAGATTCCCCAGTTCTTGTACACATAAATAAATCTTTTTTAAAAAGTCCTTTAAAGAGGTACCAAACGGGGCCTCTCTGGTGGTGCAGGGGTTAGTCTCAGTGCTATCAGGCTATTGCAGCATGAATTCAATCACCAGCCAGAGAGCTGACCCACATATGGGGCAGCAGACCTCTCGTCTTGCCCGCTGCTCCCCTAAGCAGATATTTTAGTAGATCTACCTGTTGTACTCCCCACTGTCTTTAGTGAATCCTCTCACCTACTGCAACTCTGGCCTATACCCCACTTCTTCTATGCATATTTTTTTTTTAAAAAAAGAGATACCAAAGGTATTATGGCAAGTACAGATATAGTAAATACTTTAGTTATCAGAAAGATGTTAAGGTCATGAAATAACATATAAAAAACATTGCATTTCCAATTTTATAGGATGGTTAGTTGATATGTTAGTTTCCAAGGTCCACCATTCTGGAAGTGATCCCAATTTCAGCAGTAGAGTCTACCAAATTGATAGAGTACTTCCCTGTTGCATCTTAGCGGCAAAGAGGCTGGATATTCTGCTGAAGAAACCTCTATATAAGTTCTGGCCCCACATCAGTACTGAGTCATAAAAGCCTTATTTGAAGTGGAAATAGGGAAGGGAAAAAACAAAAAAGAGTATTTCTACTTCATAGGTACTCGTGCATCCATCAGTAAATTCAGGAGCTAGTAAAGCCAAAGTGCAAGTCTCTAGAACGACAGTCTTTGGAAAATAACTCAAAGAATATCCATTTTCTTCCCCTCTGGCCTTCACTTTGAGGATTATGTTCAGTATTTCCCCATCCTCAAATCTGTATGATGTTATAAGGATAGCCAAGTGAAAGCATTTCTTCCTTTGATGTAACCAATTTTAGCATTATAAAAATAGCATCCTTACCTGAAAATAATTCAAGACTCATGAATAGTTTATAAAGTAGTTATGTCAACCAGACATGCACAAGGCTGTCAGAATTAAAACTAACAACCTCCAAAGAATTATACCTTAAATGACAGAAGATACTGTTCTCTAAAAAACTGTGCTACCAAGATGCTGAGAAAAAGACACAATAAGCAGCTTCTCTTCAGTTACCAAGGAAGAAACCAAATAAGAATTAGGGTAATAGTTAGGCTCACATAAAACATAAACTAGAATGTATTAAATTATCTAAGTAACCTAACAGTACTTAGTGGCTATAATTTCTAAAATACAAACCAAAAAACAGAAAGGTCACGGACTCATACAATTTCTAATCAAAATCATATTTCTCATAAAGATAACAATAGCTTGATTGCTTTTAAAAATATGACAAAATTATATTCTTTTATTTGATACAGCTCAGGGAAAAAAGTCTGCTTTCCATGGCCAGTATCTCAGGTATACTTATAAAATGTTTAAAGTGGAAGTACTTTTAACCTTCTATTTAGCATAGGTATAACAAATAACAGCATTTATATATTAAACACCTAGAGTATTTCTAAAATAACCTTATTTATCACCTCTTGCTGAATCAGCTGAATTTTAAGTATCATTTTTAATATCCTGTAGTAAATCTGGTTCATTATCAAATTAACATATCAAATACAAGACTGCTAAATGCCATAAAATATGTATTATTTATCAATTATTTTTGTAAAAATTTCCATTCTTTGGTGAGATTTAATTTTAGATATTCTCTTGTAAACTAGTTGCTGGATTGTACTGAACAAGTCAATCATTGTACATTAGCCCTGAAAGCAATCACCTAAAGGAATAACTGATAATGTTCACATTATAATTTTTATAAATAAACTTGCAGGTGTTTCTACTCTTTCAACTGTATTCCAATCTCAAAAAGTCTTTAAAATAAATGTATTCAAAAATATATAAATAAAGTTGACCTGCTATAGTAAAAACCACTTGATATGGATCATGTGCACAGGGGAAAGAATATTTCACTTTATAAGTGCTGTGCTGTAAATGGAAAATGCAATGACTAAAATAAAACTATTTAAAACTGACACCACGAAAATAAAATGTATTCCATAAGGATGAAGTCCAGACATGTTTTTCTGATTCAGCAGAACAAGTTGCTCAACTATAGTTGTGAAAGGAAAAACTAGTAAGATACAATATAGCATGTTCCTTATTATAGCTTCCAGTGACAATCAGCTGATGGTTACTTACTAGTGACCTTCAGTGAGATTGAAAAGAAAATGCTGTAAGTGACAGACCATGTAGACACATTTTCAAATATGTGACTTGGATTGATGTCTATCACAATATTTATAGATAGAACTAGGACTGAGGATTTCATGTACCACAGGTTAACCACATTATTGTGCACATACTTGTCGATTTAAAATAAAAAGTTCTTAAAATTAACTCCCTAAATTAACATCCCCACCTCTCCTCACCTCCCCCCCCACACACACCAGTTTATAACTATTGCCATGCTTTCCCCATATTAGATTCCCATTTGGATCCAATGGAAATCTAGACTAGATTCCTAGACTAGCCAAAACATCCCTTCATTTTCAAATGCTTAGTTACAAACTTATTTCCAATTCCCTCAACTAGTTTGCTAGGTCAGCTTCTCTGAGGAAAGTTGCAGCTTATCTAAATAGATTTACAGAATAAATCACTATAGAATGAAACCATTTTAATATAAAATTACTGTTCCTTTGTTTCAAAATAATGTTTAAAGATATTAGCTAAACAATCAGGATTTAAGTTTAAAAAAAAAAAAAGTGACTCATATCCTGTAAGAGCTTTACAAAAGTGAAAATCCTTCTCAGCAGATTTTTTTAAACACCCTATCTATAAACAGCATAATGGACAACAAAATAAGGCCATAACCCATGGAAACAAACAACACTTTTTTAAGTTCCTAGCTTTAAGGTTCTTTATCAACACCTAAATGTTTGTGTATTTATATAAAGATAAAAGGCTCAAAATTTGACATTACAGTAACTTCACATTATTTCTGTTTATTGAGTCCTTGCAAAAGCTAAAATTTACAACCAACCCAATTTAATTCTTATTAAAGTTTTGTAAGGTAATAAATTTCCTTTTTATAGTTGAAGGATTTGAAGCTTGAAAAAAACTAACTTCCCCAAGGTTACAAACCAAACTTACCCCTGAATCAGTTTATCGGGGCTTATGTATTTGAAAGCTCTGTGTTCTCAATCATTGTAGGATGGTCAAATCCCAGAAAGTTAAAATTTCTTAAATTAACCCAGGATTATAAACTGCTACTATTAACGCAACAAGAGTTAATATTTTCTGTGGGGAAAAAAATGGCTTTCTACAACCAACATTCAAGTTCCAAACCAAACAGGAGAAACATGAATTTACCTTGTTCTAAACTAGATACTTCAAAGGTAGGTAGCTGCCCACTACCTCTGTACCTTATTTTAAAAAACAAATTTCCCGTATTGGTTACACCTGTGTCCAGAGCCACACTTAAGTCACCTTCACCTGATCTCAGAAGCCTTCCAGTACTGCAAACTAATTCACACTACTCCTTTCCTTACTGGTAAAATGCAGTAAATACCTTCTGTCAAAACTTTTTTCCACGAGGGGTGGGTATGGATGCTAAAGGTACGCACCCTATATAAATACAATATTATAGATCTGAGAAGTGAAGACAGGACCCGTATATTCATTGCTATTATCCCAAGATTTTCAATGTGCTGCTAAAAACCAAAGACATGTTTCCAGCTTCTTTTAGTCAATCATTCTCAACAATGAAAGGCAAAGTCAAAAACAGGCACCACGCTAACATTCTTTTAAAACTCCACCCTCCACTGTAAAGCTTTAATAGCAATGGCTTCTTCCTCCCTGGTAATGATCTTTGTTCAGCATAGTACTTATGGCTGCCCTCCTAATTCAGGAGCAGAGAAGGAGCACCAGAGCGAGCTCATTCACTAAACAAAAAGGCATTTACTGTACTTCTCATCCACAACTGTACCCTTTATTTTTGTTAATGAAAAACAGAAAAACCAGTCTTTTGGTTTATTTCCGGACTAACCAGTAAGCAATCCCTTCTCTCTACTTTCCATCCTTCAATGTTTTGTCCAAGGGCACTATAGGTTTTCCTCTATTAAATGCGATTTAAGAGCCCAAAACTCACTCCCTCCCCCCCACCTTTTGTGGAAAGGTATGTAGCCAACTAGGACTCTTCCCTTCCTGTTCTAAAAACACCACAAGGTTGAATCCGCCCAGTGTTGCAGCAGGAAGCGTCCAGTCCATAGTGATAAAGCAAGCTAGTATTTGTGCAGCGCACAACCTTTCCTGTTCAGGAACTGGGCCTTCAGGTCTGGCAAGGATAACAGCCACCACCCATCCGCAGCCCCTTCTCCCGAGCAGAGTCGAGAGTTATCCCGGGCAGGTTGCCGCTGGGTAGGGAGGGGAAGAGAAAAAAACCTAGGTGGGAAGTCACATCTGTCCGCCGGGTCACTGCGACAAGTGCGCGCAAGGGTGATGGACAACCCCTCTTGCCCTGCCCCCCGCCCCCACCCCCGGGGTTGCACTGGAGAGGAGGGAGAGCGCTGAACTACTTGGAGAGGGAAAGGTTGAACGGACCTACCAATCCCGGGGGCAGAAAGCGAGGACAGTGGGGAGGGTGCGAGTGGGGCTGCTGGCCCGCTCAGATTTTAACGAAAGCCCGGCCGGCGACGGAAAAAGATGGCTAAGAGAGGCGTCGGTTCGAGGGGAGGGGCTGTGAGGAGACGCAGAGGAGAGACTCGTTCGAGGGGAAAGGGCTAGAAAAAGACCAGGAGTGGGAGTCTGCGCCAAAGGAATGATGAGCGTAGGGAAGGGCCTGACTGAGGGGCACACAAGAAGAGGGAGAGAGGAAAGGCTTAAACTGAGGAGGAGAAGGCGCCAAGCCCGTGAAGAGATGGTGGGAGGGGCGGGCCCTTTGAAGGGGCCTGAGAACCCGCTGAGAAGACCAAGACGATTTAGGAGAAGGCAGCAGCGCTAAGGACAGAGGGAGGGGGTCTCAAGCTAGTGAAGGCCGGCTGGGAGGACGCCAAGAAACCGGTGTGTGGAGAGGAAATCCTATCTGAGGGGCTGAGGTGGCGACTGCAGGTCCAACCACCCAGAGAGGAAGGGGTGAGGAAGGCCGACTCCAGCGCAGGGGTAGCCGGCACGCGCGTCCCCCGGGAGTGTCCCGGCCCCCGAACGGGGGACTCGGTGTTGTGGGAGAGCCCACTGGCTCACCTTTGAAGAGGTAGTCGTACTCGTCGTCGCGGGTGCCCATTGCGCGGCCGAGGAGCCAAGGGGCGGGAGCAGCAGTGGTATCGGTGGGACCAGGGGGCGTCGCTGCAGGGGTAACCCGAGCACCGAGCTTCAGCTGCCGGACCTGGTAAAGAACCCCTCCCAGCTCCTACGCCACTTCCGGAAGGCTCCAGCCCCTAAGGAGAAGTACTTCCGGGGATGGTGTACCGCCCCTGAGACATGGCGATGCGCGCCATGATAGTTCTTGTTTAACTTCTCAGTCCCTCCTGGAGGGAGAAAACAGCCCTGGACTTCTAGCCGACTACACTCTTAACGGTAGCTCACCACCTCCATAGTAGCATCTCTTTCATTCCTCGCTGTGCCAAACCTGGAAGCAGGGCGCTGGGGAGCGCGACAGCCCCGCCTCCGAATGTTAGGTTCGCTGTTGGGGGCGGGGTTCTGTAAGGATTAGAAAGCCCTAGGTGGGTGCATACGCGTGGCGGTTCCATGGTGTAATGGTTAGCACTCTGGACTCTGAATCCAGCGATCCGAGTTCAAATCTCGGTGGAACCTACAAGCTCTTACTTTTTACATTTTTATTCCATTTATCAAGCCATCGTGCAGCAAAGACCTCAGATTTCCCCCTTCGTTCTGTACTGTCGCCCTGCTGTCTCCTAAAGACCCTTTTAACTTTGTTCTTTTTTTTTGAAGCCTAGGAACTCAGATTCAAATTTTATTTCAAAAGTTTTAGAGAAATTTGGTTCCTTTTTCTCGAATTTTCAACTTCCCACATCACTCATGGGCGGGTGCATCTCACGCCTTTTCTCCGGAAATCTCCCAAACTTATCTCCAGATGTCTTTCAGAGAACTTCGCCCACCCTCCTCATCAAGATTCATGAAGAACTTCTTGAGACCTTTGTCGTTCTCTAAATCGTTTACGTAATTATTTCATTTAACACAGAGAGTATGGATGGGAGTTTCTGTTTTAGAGGAAGTGTGGAGACCTACGCAAATTAGCCACCAAAGCTCATGCCCCAGGACCTCCCAGTATTTGGAGAGTTGTAATTCTAAAAAGCTTTCCCCCCTATATTGCCTCACACACCACCACCACCACCACCACCCCATAAGCCAACTCTCAATTTAAACTTTGGCTAGGACACCTGCGTTAGTAGGCAGAATAATGGCTCCCCAAATAATGACTTTCCGGCAGCTGGGATAGGTCAATACTTTGGGTTATGGCAAAGGAGAATTAAGATTACAGGTGGAGGCAAGGTTGAAGATCAACTTATCCAGATCATCAGAAGGGGCTCTTAAAAGTAGAAAAGATAAGCAAGGGAAATCAAGTGATGTGAGTTGTAGTCTTAGCCTTTATGGCTTTGAAGATGAAAGGAGGGGACCAGAAGGCTAGGAATGCAATGGTGTCTAGAAGATGAAAAAAACAAGGAAAGATTCTTCCCTAAGACCAGAAGGAACACAGCCCTAGTAATTTGTTACAGCAGCAATAGGAAATTAATATAATGTCATTTTCAATGCTTCCTCTATTGTATTGTAAAAGGGTGGTGCCCAGAAAAGGGGGAGGTTCTAGGTTCCCCATTCCACCAGAAGGAGGGTGGAGCTGAGTAAGGGGAGAAGCTAGAGAGAAGACTGAAATAGGAAAGAAGCAGGATGGAGAGCATGAAAGAGACAAACGGAGCAGAGAGACATGTGAAGCTGTATGGTTTTTGGTCCTGGACTGGTTGAAACAGATGTGGGTGAGAGATCCATGGGGAGGTTCACAGTGGCAGTTTTTATCCTGATTTTGATTTTGCTCTTTTTCTCCCAGACTTATCTGGCTGCTTTTGACCCTTTTCCACGGGTCCCCATTGGAAACTGCTTTAAACTTGTGGCAGGCTTTTGGGCCTTGCTTTGGGCCAGCACTGTTTGACTGAACTTTTATTCATGAGGGGATGGGTAACTTTGAGTACTTGATTTGAAATCTGTATTCTTTGTCTTTTCTGTATTGCACAATAATTATATTAAAATTCCTTTCCACTAAAGGGCTATATGTTTTGTCTTAATGTTGCAGACATCAGAACCTATTTAGAAAAGGCAGGTTTAGGGGTTCTGGGATGTCCCTCTTTCTGCCTTGTAACAGAATGAAGTGATAAAAGTCTTAACTAAGGCCCTACAATACCCTGTCTTGTGCAGGGTGTGAGCATTAACTACATTGGGGATGATGTACAACATTACTCAAGCAGCTGTTATATGTAGTTCTAATTATTTATAAGATGCAGTCCTGGTATTATTCAGTGGGTAGACAAAAATGGGTACAAGAAATGAAAAAATATCAATTATTAGACAGTCCTGAAGCTGTAACTAATAAGAGTTCTGGTGAGAAGTGTCAAAGTACATACAGACTGCCTTAATTAGGAAGAATTCCAAAAAGAGACAGAACTAAAGGAAGACGCAAGGAAGGAAACTCATTTTGGAAAGTTGGGGTAATAGGTGGTTAAGAGCATATTGATCAAAGCTATTCATGCCAGAAGAATTATTACAAACTTTTCCCTTTAAGTCATCTTTTTTCAAGATGTCTCCTGAAAAGGTCTAACAGTATACCTCAAAAGATGGAGTGCATGGCCAAATAAATTGAGAACCATACACTTCCTTTTAGAAGTTTCTAAGCTTGGCACATTGGCATTTTAAAGTCTTAATAGATACTCATTCTGTAGAAATTTTTTTTCTTAAACTGCATTGAACCATTACTTCCCAGATAGATGCGAGAACAAAACTTTTCTCATGTGGTACCTGTAAGTACTTCTCTTAACACTGCAAAATATCTATGGAAAAAGGAGTGATTGAAATAAACGTGATCTTATTACATTATGCAAGATTGGTGTAAAGAAAAAATTAGCAGTGTATCAAGTAGAAGGCTATTGCAATTAATCAGGTACAAACTATCAGAAATGGGTGCAGCTGTGTAAATAGAAAGGAAAGAAAGCAAAAATTATTGTAGAAAATAATGATGGGGGGCCCGTCCCTGGTGGTGCAATGGATTAAAAGCAGTACTTTGAAGTTGAAGCTGGCCATAGCTGCTTCAGCATGAGTTTGAGCCCCAGCCAGGGAGCTGACCCACATGGCACTGCAGACTTCTGTCCTACCCACTGCTCCCCTCAGCAGTGTACTTTGTCATTCTGCCACTCTGCTCCCCACTCTGTCTCCGGTGAATCCTCTCACCACCGTACCTTTGGCCTGTACCCCAGTTCTGACCATAAATAAATCTTTAAAAAAAAATAATGATGAATGTAAATAAGAGAACTAAAGGTTTACTTTCTAATTTAGGGGAAAAGAAGTATGGTTATTGCTTGATATAACTTATTTTTAGCCTCTTGAGAAGTATAGGAATTTAACATGGATGCTTTAAACGATAGAAATAAGGATGAATCCCTAAAATCCAACTCTGTTTCAATTTCTCCCCAAGATAACTGGTATTTGTTTTTTACATATAAAATCAGGTAATTGAACTGTTCTCACTTGAAAAATCTTTCTACATAAATCCAATCAGACTTGACTTATTTGCTGCATAGTTTTCTTTATCCTTGATAAAGAAACATACCATAGTTTCTGCAATACTCCCCATTCCCTTATCCATGGATATAGTAGATACTGAGGGTGCACTAAATCAAAGCATATTCATACTTCAGGTATTTATTCCTTGCCCACTTCCCCTTTAGAGGTCAGAAAAGCCAGTCATTTCCCCAACTATTCTACATTGTTTTACAGTATAAAAATACATACTACCAGTATTTTAAAATTGCTCTATCTGGTTTACCCAGTAATTTAATAATCCTCTGATAACTAATGAGTAAAATAATTGCCTCCAATGTTTATTAGCCATTTGTATTCCTTCTGTGAACTGACGATCAGTATCTTTCTACATTTTCTTGTAGGGTTGTTTGTCTCTTCTTATTGTTGTGAAAGCTCACTTAATATATTCTACCTATTAACCCATTGCTTATTACGCACACTACAAATATTTTCTCCTGTATCACCTGAGTTTTTAGTTATGATGCTTATTCCAAACAGAGGCCTTTAATTTTTATTTAATCAAATCTCTCTGTCATTTCTGTTATAGCTTTTGGGCATTGCATTTTGCATAAAAAGACTTCTTCACCAAGTTTTTTGTTAAAGATTGCTTTATTTATGTATACAGAACTGGGGTACAGGCCAGAGGTGTGGGGGTGGGAGGGGCGGTGAGAGGATACACCAGAGACAGAGTGGGGAGCAGACTGATCAGGCAGACTGATGAAGTACATTGTTGAAGGGAGCAGCAAGTGAAACTGGAGAGGTCTGCTGTACCATGTGGACCGCCTCTGAGGCAGGGATTGAACTCACACCCCAGCAGCTGAGTTCAGCTTCCTGGTGCTGCCTTCAACCCATTGAGCCATCAGGGAGAGGCTTTACCAAGTTTATTTAAAGAATAGTTTCTTTAAATATTTATATATTTTTTTCTTCATCTAGATTTTATTGCTATTGAAGATGGCATCAAGTAGGGATCTAAATCTTTCCAATGGATTGTCAATTGTTTCATTTATTGGGATAATTTACCTTACCCCCCCCCCTTGTAGGAAATGCCTTAATCTGTTCTTGAATCTCTGCACCAATCCACTGTAAGCCACAGAAGAAGTGCTCAGCTATTACTTAAAAAGAGAGCCTTGGGCCCTCCCTGGTGGCGCATTGGGTTAGGATGCAGCACTGTAAACTAGCACAGCCACTTTAGTGCAAGTTCTATCCCCAGCTCTGGAGGTGATCCACATGGCATGACAGTCCTCTCCTGTCTCGCCTGCTGCTCCCCTCAGCAGTATACTTCATTAATCTGCCTATTCTTCTCCCTACTCTGTCTCTGGTGAACCTCTCACCGCCCCTGCACCTCTGGCTTGCACCCCAAGTCTATATGAATAAATAAATAAATCTTAAAAAAAAAGAGAGCCTATTGTGAAAAGTAGTTAGTGACAAGTTAAAATTGCCATATCTCCAAAATCCACTACAGTGTTTAAGCTCTTGTGAACTGTTCACAGAAAATGATTGAGCACAATACGTGTATAAGAGCTGGGCCATTTCTATCCAGAATGGGGCTCTTCTATTGGGCATTCTTTGCTCTAGACCTCTTCTACAATCTAGCTGAGAT